TGGTTTTATGATAGCTCTATATCTCAAGATGAAACATATTGTATAAAGTTATGAGAAAGTATTTGGGTTTTTATAAGTTCAGCAAGCATTGGTGTTTTCTGTCTGATGATAATTGAATTGAGTTAAATATTTGAGAGCTTTTTACTGAAACAAGCCTCATGGGGCCATCATTACCACCTCATATACCGAATTCCAAGTCCAGCATCACTAACCAGTCTGTATAAAGAAGCACCCTAAGATCAAAAAGAAAGATCAAATGTTACGTATGAAAACAAGAATTCGCGGGTATCTTTTTTTCTTTTCGCGGAAAACTGTTGATGTTTTCAGATTTGTATAGTAAAGTTAATATAGAAAGACATAATCAAAGCTCAGTATTCAACAATCAATTACAATCACAAAATGGAACTACCGACAAGATGGGAAGTGGAATTAGAATTTGTCCAAGCTTTGGCTAATTTACAATACTTGAATTTCCTTGCCCAAAATAAATACTTGGAAGATGAACAATTTTTACAATATTTAAAATATCTTGAATATTGGAGGAAACCAGAATATTCTAAATACTTGGTATATCCAAATTGTTTACATATATTGACATTACTACAGAGTGAACAGTTTAGGCAACAAATCCTAAGAGCTGATGTAGCTGGTGTGATTATGAATGATATGGTTCATAGATGGAAAGAACCTCAATTAACATTTGCTCCTACACCTTTAAAGAATGAAGAGACTCAAAATGGTACAGCTAATGAAGAACAAGGACAATCACAACTACCACAAGGACAGTCGCAGTCACCACAGGCACAGCAACCACAGGAGAATCAACAAGAAACTCAACAGCCCCCAATAACGGCAAATTCAAATACAACTACAACAACTTCAAGTACGCAAAGTTAATAAAAATCCCTATTTCAATTCATTTCATTTCATTAAAAATTTATTTATTGGTTTTCAATGTTATTATACAGTTCTTTAATCTTATCAGTATTTACACCATCCAAAAGTTTATCAATTTTATTTTGATCGCCAACAATTTCTAAAGTTTTCAATAATTTATTTGATTCAATACCAAGATAACGTTCACGTTCACTTGATTGATTTGATTCAATTGAAGGAGAATTTTGAATTTCTTCAATTTTAGTAAATAATTCATTAGATAATTTCATTATAAAATATATGGATTCATCCAGTGGTTCTAATTGTTTCCTTATTTCTGAATCTTGATTAATAAATTGTAATGTTTGTTTATAAATTTTTAATAATCTAAGAATTTTTTTAGCTTTCCGTATTTGTATTATTAATAATTTTTTCAATTTTAATTGAATTTCAATAGTTTTCAAAACTTCTCTAATTTGTACATCAATTTCTTTAGATTTTTGTTCAGAGTTTTCCCTAATAACTTTTTGATGTTTTAATTTAATTGGTAAATTTGATGGTATTGTTAAAATATTTCTTAACGCGTAAAGTTCAAATTTATCAAAATTCTTATCCAATGTGTTTTCCAATAGTGTTTCTAATTTAGCAGTCCCATGTTCAATATCATTCTGTATCTCTTCGGGGGAATTAGTTGGTTGATGTGAATATAAATAATCTTCCACAGCAGTGGTACATTTATACATGATTCCATTAACAGCATTAATGATATCGTCAATCAGTGCAATTGGAGGGAATCCCAAATGTTCTGTGAGTAATTCCGTGGTGTGTTGATCCGGTGCAGACATGATGATTCTTGAAACTATTGAAGATTGGTTCTTTCCTTCTTGATATCCTTCTTTTGAACTTCTTTCAAGTTTGTTGATGTTATTGTTTTTTCATTTTCAAATTGTAAACAAACGATTATGTTTTTGTTACGCGCAGTTTCGCTTACGTAATTCTGAAAAAGTTATAAGCATTTGGAATCAATGGGTATTAAATCAAATCATTTTCGAAGGTAATAGATCTCAACAAACCACCACAACTGGTCAAGATCTCTAATAATGGTACGGTGTCACAGATTATTCTCTACTAGCTCACCATTACTCAAAAAAAAACAAGAACTTCTCATACCCGGTTATAAATTAAAATGTGGTTTAGAAATTCATTCACAATTAGATACAAAATTTAAATTATTTTCATTATCTAAAACTTCATTCCAATCTACTCCTAATTCCAAAATATCATATTTTGATGCTTCATTACCAGGAACACAACCTTTGTTAAATCCAGAAGCTTTATTATTTGCATTGAAAGCTGCCAAAGCATTAAACTCTACTATAAATACATTTTCAACTTTTGATAGGAAACATTATTTTTATGGTGATCAACCTTTAGGTTATCAAATAACTCAACATTATCAACCATATGCTCAAGGTGGGTTTTTGAAATTATTACCACATGATAATGAATCTATCACCGGGGAGAAAATTATAAATATTGAACAAATTCAAATTGAACAAGATACAGGTAAATCCATATATACAGAATTAGAAAATGAAGCATTCTCTAAAATTGATTTAAATAGAACAAATATTCCATTAATTGAAATGGTTACGAAACCTGATTTTGAAACACCAGAAGAAATACGTTGTTTTATTAAAAAATATCAAAATTTAGTTAGACATTTAGGTATATGTACTGGTGATTTAGAAACTGGTGCAATGAGAGTTGATGTTAATATTTCAGTTAATAATGGTCATAGAGTTGAATTGAAAAATTTATCAACAACAAGTTCTGTTATAAATGCAATTAAATATGAATATAAAAGACAAATCAAATTAATTGAATCTGGTGAAACTTCAAAAGTTATTCAAGAAACTAGAGGTTGGGATGGTTCCAAAACTGTTAGATTAAGAACTAAAGAAGGTGCTTTGGATTATAGATATATGCCAGATCCTGAATTACCACCTATTATATTGGAAAATGGGATAAATGAATCTTTAAAATTACCAAAATTACCAGATGAATTAATGATTGAATTGAAAAATGCACCATATAATTTAAGTAATAAAGATGCATCAATCTTGGTTAATGATTTAAAATTATTAAATTATTATTTCCAATTATTTGAAGAAACTGTGATTAAGAATAAAGTTGAATCTAAATTACCAGGAAATTGGGTTATTCATGAATTATTAGGTGGTTTTACCAAGTTACAAATTGAATTTAATCCAAATTTAATTAATGTTTTAAAATTATCAGAATTATTAATCTCAATAAATAATGAACAAATTACAAAATCTAGTGCAAAATTATTATTACAACATTTAATGAATAATCCAGGGGATTTAAAAAGACCTATATTAGAATTAATTGATGATTATGATTTAGGTAAAGAATCAAATGTTGATCAAGATTTAATTGGTGAGATAATTAACCAGGTATTAGAGGAACAATCTGAAATTGTTGAATTGATTAAATCTGGGAAAAGATTAAATTCTGTTAAATTTTTAGTTGGTCAATGTATGAGATTAAGTCAAGGTAAGATTAAACCAAATATTTTTGAAGATGAATTAAAATTAAAATTAGGTATATAATATTGTAAATAATCAAAAAAACACAAAATAATGTACATAAGGATAAACAATTTCTATATATAACTTTTTCTATGAGAGATGAAAGTGATTTTAATCTGAATCAGAATTATCATCACTTGATGAATTTTCTGCAACAACTTCTTCATTATCACTACTTTTACCAACATCATAAGTTGGAACATCTTGTTTAACATCATCTGGAACAGAATTTAAAATTGGTAAATCATCATTAAATGTAATTTTTTTACCAATTTGACCTGGTGTAACAGGTTTTGCTTCTAATTCTGAACCTGGTTTAATTAATGAACCTTCCACTGAAACAACTCTACCAGATGTATGAATTCTTCTAATTGTAAATTTAATTTTCCCATCAATTGGCATATTATTTTCATCATTCCATTGACCTAAACTTTGGAATTTTTTAGATTTTGAATTATTTTCTTCATCATCTTGATTTTCATCTTGGAATTCATCTAATTGATTTGGAATAAATTCCCAATTTTCAGGTATAAAATTTTTTTTAATACTTGCATTAAATGTATCATTAATTAAAAGACCAATATGTGAAGGAGATTGCATATATATAAGACCTTCAACAACATCACCAATACTTGGACGCCATACTAACAGATCAACATTAATCCAAAAAAATGCAAAAGGACTATGAGCATTTAATTTAGCTGTAATAAATTGAGTTTCTTCTTCATCATCATCTTCATTATTATTCCCACCGGCATTATATGAATGTTCATCACTTAATTTTAAATTATCATATCCTATAACAACCCCATTTGCAGGAGCGAAATGTTTCATAATCATATTATCCAAATGTTGAGATTTAAGACCTTCTAATGGAGTTTTACTATATATTGGAGCTAAAGAAAGGTATAAACTTGTTTTAATCTTATGGAAACATTCAGATAATCCATCTTTATTTATTGGATTTATACCTTGATTAATCTTTGTTGTTTGTTTTCTCTTTGTTGAAGAATCATTCCCTTCGGAAGTGGCTGCACTTCTTTTTCTTTTATCATCAGACATTTTGGAGTCTTAAAGATTATATTATCTTATAATATGTCAAATAATTATAGTATTCTATGAAAAATCTTGATATTGGTTATTAAAAAAAAAAAAATTTACACGATGAGTTCGCGCGCTGTGTAACCATTTCCTAAAACGGATATCGGCCGAGAAAATAGTATGGTAATGAGTAAAAGTGGAATACTTGAGAAATTTGTATTGTGAGCATGGGCTTTTATTACTGAAGTATATTTAGTAAGTTAGTGGATATCTAATGGTACTAGATATAATATAATTAAGTAACTTTTGAAAATTGATGTTTTTGGAATTTTAAAATATTAAGGTAAAATAAAAATTATGAAAGTATATTAAATTTATAAAATTTAAAATTTCCAAAATAAATTGCTAAATTATTTATATCACAAGAAACCTTGAAATTAACTGATCATTTCTATATATTTTATACTAATATAATCTCAAATCCCATCAAACTATCCCATTTCTTAAATAATTTGTGTCAAAATTTCCATAAATTTCCCCAAAGAAAATCGCGGACACATAATTAAAAAACAAAGCCTGAAAACCCATAAACACAATAAGAAAACAAGATTCATTACCAAACTGCCCTAAATTCAGCTCTATATGAACAAGATATGAGTCTAGTGCTATACGATGGTGATCAAGTACTCCCCAACAATCCACAGCTCAGCATAGTCTTGTGAGTATACAGTTCTATTGTTCTATTGAGATCTTGAATACTAACGCCAATCAGAAATGATCCATTAAGAAATGCAATCGTTTTACATAACAAAGAAACAAATGAACTGTCAGTCCTCAAGACAATCCCTAAATTACCAAGAGCGCAAGATTATGATTTTAAATTTGATTCTTTTAAACAATTAGATCTAGTTGGGAAGAGGTATAATGAAGGTGGTTATAATTCATTTAATTCTATTCATGAATGTCCAAATTGTGGATTTATTTTAGATCAAGGGAATGATCTTGGTAGGGATCAGGATGTTGGTAATGACCATGCTGATGGGATGGGTCAAGGGATACATAATATGGATGGATTTATACATTCAAATTATTTTAAATTATTAGGAAATGGAATAATTCCATCCCAACCATTTGAAATGAATAATAATCATTTATCAGAAAGTTTATTTACACAAGGATATTTCCATAATTTTTTTAAAGAGATTGAATTATTAGGTAGAGGTGCACGAGGATCAGTTTATAAAGTTGAACATGTATTAAATGGTATTTCATTAGGATTTTTCGCATTGAAAAAAATCACTATAGGAGATGATTCAAAATGGTTATTAAAAGTCTTGAAAGAAGTTACAATGCTTTGTAAAATAAGTTTTAATAATCAAAATTTAGTTAATTATAATCATGTATGGCTTGAAATTTCTTCTATAAATGAATTTGGTCCTCAGGTTCCTTGTGCTTTTATATTACAACAATATTGTTCTGGTGGGAATTTAGAAGACTTTATAGTAAATTTAAAGAACCCCAAGTTGAATACCCAGGATTTTAAAAAATGGAAATTAAAACATAAAGGTCAAACAACACCAAAGGGGAGATTCTTAACTAATGAAGAAATTTTAATAATTTTTAATCAAATTGTTATTGGTGTTAATGAATTACATAAAAATCATATAATTCATAGAGATTTAAAACCATCAAATTGTTTATTATCAAAACCTTATGAAACAAGTTTCAATAATCCAAATGAAGTTGATATTTCTAAAGTTCCAACTATAGTGGTTAGTGATTTTGGTGAAAGTCAATTAGAAGGTGAAAAAAGAAATGCCACTGGATCAACGGGGACATTAGAATATACAGCACCTGAAATTTTAAATGTTAAAGATGGTAAAGTATCACAATTTAATAAAAAAACTGATGTTTATTCATTAGGTATGATTTTATATTTTTTAAGTTTTAGTAAATTACCATTCATGTCACAAGATATTGAATTATTAAAAAATGAAATTATAAATCATGATGTAATGAAATTTGAAGAAAGAGACCAGGAATTAAAGGTTGAAATCAAAGAATTAATTAAAAAATTAACTTCAATGGATCCAGATGAAAGATTATCAACAAATGAAATATTAAATTTTTTACAAGGTGTTAATGAATCTATTCATAATTCAGAAACTGTTTTGGAGAAGGAACTTATTGATGATGAAGAAATTGAAACAAGAAGATTATCATTAACAGATGGGAAAGCTCAACCCATTGATACTTATAATATACTTATCAATAATAATTTCAAAATTTTCATAAATTTAATAAATTTTGGAATTGTCATGAAATTTATAACTACCAAAATTTCACCATTTTTATTGGTTCTAATTGGAATATCAATAAATTTAGATATAAAATATACTTATTATTTAAGTTTATTAATTTTCATAACATTAATATTAAATTATATATTATAATACACAAACAACACCATCCTAACAATTACATGATTTATTTTGTAATACATGTTTATTTAAATCAATTAACCCATTTATCCCAACATCATCTCTTTCATCATTTATTTTTAAATCTTTAAATAATTCATCTGGAAGATCTTTCCCAATTTCCCTAAAGATCTTTTCAACATTTTCACCAGTTTTAGCACTTGTTTCTATATATTGAACCTTATGTTCATCACACCATTGTTTTACCGTAGAATCATCAATAATATTAAAATTTAAATTATTTTTTAAATCTAATTTATTTCCAATAATTTTTATAATTAATGTATCAGGAGCTTGTAAAGATAATTCTTCATACCATTTAATCATCTTGTGGAAACTTGTTGAATCAGTTAAGTCAAATACTAATATAGCAGAATTTGCATTTCTATAATACATTGGAGCTAATGATTTATAACGTTCTTGACCAGCAGTATCCCAAATTTCAAATTTTATTGATGTTAATTCATCTAATTTAATAGTTTTCGTTATGAATGCAGCTCCTATTGTAGATTCTCTATATTCATCAAATGAATTCTTAACAAATCTTTGAACTATTGAAGATTTCCCTACTGAAGAGTCACCTGTAGAAGAAGTTAGTACTTGGTTCAGGGGTATAAGGGGGTAAGGACATACCTAGGAGTACTAGTTTTGCGTGTGCTGTTCTTTGTTGTGTTATATCATTATCATTGCTCATGGTTGGTATATTATGGATGTTGATATTAAAATATAATGATGAATATGTTATTATGGCTTTGATTTTTGGTTGTATGTATATACAGCGAGTGATTATGTCATCACGTAAGGAATAATTAAACAGAGTATTTGGAGTATATCTGGTTTTAATGGGAAAGAGGATTATAATTGATTATTGGTGTTTTATTTAATAAATTATTAGGAATTATATAATGTTATTTTTGTATATCCATCAATGTTTTGATATTTCAATAGTTGTGTTATGTGACTTTGAATATGTGCAAATGAAGGAAAATCAAATCACTCAAAGTCAACTAACTAACTACAGATATCAAACAATCAACAACATCAATTAACAACATCAACAACTTCTATTAAAGTAATCACAATGCATTTCATACGATGTTACAGTGCTAAACCTGATTTAAAACAAGTAAGTCTCTTATCAAACCATATAATACCACATACTAACAATATCAGTTCTTACATCAACAACAAGTTCATTCATTCTATAAACAAGTCATAAGAACAATTTATAGTGAGTTATACATCGCATAGTATTGTGATCACTGATTAACCTAGTATAGAATGTCCAAGGGAACAACGAGATGAGTTAAGAACATATGTTAAAAATGAATTTAAACCAAGGAATATGAGTTTGGTGAGTTATTGAATTGTATTATTGTATTGTGGAGAGAGTTTACTAATTATATAGGATGATCAAAAATATTTACTTAGTTTGGGGAAAAGACAATTTCAAAGTTTTAAATCATCAATTGGACAAGTATGAGTTGTCTATTATTTATTTTTTACTATTATATTTATCTATTTATTACTATTTATTCATTATATGTTATGTTTTATCAGTTAAGTGTTCTTCGTAGTTTATATGTTGATGTCTGGATGTTTTGATAAGATTATACTTTGTTATTATAAGGAAGGCAAAGTACACGAAACATTTATTAACATTGAACAACAGGATCAATTAAGCACAATTGAGTTGATTACAATTGTCATGAACCATTACAAATTCTCCATAAATCTCATCCCTTCCATAGGTTTCAATGATATTACACTTGGTTCTTCATTATATGATGTATTAAATCAATTAACTTCACAAGGATATCATTTAAATTTAATATTTAGTTCCAAAAATCCTATAAATGTTCCATATATTATATTCATTAAGGAATTATCTACAAGATTAATATTCAATGGATCAAATCAAATATTACAATTTATTGAATTCACAAGTTTCCAAAATTTAAGATTACATTATCAAAATCATAAAATATCTTCATTAGGTTTGAAAACAATTTATAATAATTCATTTGGTCCAACTTATCCTGGTGAAATTGATGGTTCAATTTATATTCTTTCTTATCCTGGTATTTCATTTAGATTCAAGATCCCTCAAACAATAAAAGATCAAGAACAAGATCAAAATAAAATATTTATCAAGATATTAGATGAAAATATTGAATTTGATACTTTGGTTATTCATAATGAAAAAAATTGGAATGATGTTTATGAAAAAATTATTAATATAAATCAAGATGGCTATGAATTATTTGATAATAAAGATATTAAACCAAGGATTAATAAACCATCATCAGATATTTCAATTGATAGGATTGATATAAATATGCCAAAGGGCAAAATATTAATAAATTTTAATGATTCAACCAAACCATTTGAAATTGAAATAAACAAGACTTATCAACAAGATATCTTGTTAAAATTAGGACCACCTGATGATATTTTCATTAAAAATGATTCAAGATTAAAAATTCATCAAACTAATCAAACATCAGATTCTGAAGTCTTCCATAATTATTTTAAATTTGGTATTGATATCTTATACAACATTTCATCAAAAAATGGCTCAAGAGTTAAAAAATTTATAATTCATAATAATTTACCAAATTCTTTAAATTTTCAGAAGTATAAGAAATGTATTTGGAGAATGTTAGGATATCCCCAACAACCTCAAACAACATCAGAAGATAACTGGGACTGGATCAGGGATAAAAATCAATTCATAACATCAGAAATGTATTTCAATGAAATTCCTAAAAATTATAAAACTAATGGTTCGAATTTACCTATAATTTTGAATAGATTTGATTTAATTAATAACTTGGATCAATCAATTGAAATTATTGATGATATGGATGAAAAGGGAGATCAGGGGGATAATCATGGTCAATCTTTGATTTATGCTTATAAAAGATGTATTTGGGAAATTATTGATAATGCTGCTATTAATAGTGTGACTTTGTACTAGGATTTAATTTAGCGTTAGCTAAATTAAATTCAAAGAGCAATTAATTTGATTTAGCGTTAGCTAAAATAAATCAAATAGTATGATTAATTATTAGAGTGGTTAGAGGGGTAAAGCGGTTAAGGTTTATGGGTTAATAGGATTATGTTTTGGCTATGTTTTAAGTTTTATATTCATTATTTATTATATTATATAATTTTCATTAAATTGTAGTAGATCTTGATTTAATACCACACTTTATAACTTCATCTAGATTTCATCTAGATTTCTTAATATTAAACTTCATCTCGACTTCGTCTCGATAAAGTTTTCAATAATACTTTTTATCCCAAATTTCATCTTGAATAAAATTTGATAAATTTTTTGAACCAGTTTGCAACAATGGATGACCAGCAACAATTTTTAAAAATTTCTCTAAACCAATTCTTCTTTTTTCAATAATTTCATCATTAAATCTATTTGTTAATATTTTCCCCGGTAATGATGGTATAACAACTCTTGAATTTTCTGATTCCAATATTTTTTTAAATATTTCAAAATCTGAATATCTACGACGTGTTGAACTTGATTTCTTGTGGAATGATGGTAGGTTTGTCCTACAAATTATTTCATAATCTGTATACATATTTCTTCCATATCCATGAGTTCTTGGATTACGGACCTGTAAATGTTTTAGTAATTTGTAATTTAGGAATAATAATTATCAATCGACTTACTTCAATTTCTAAGAAGTTTTCAGGTTCACCATATAATTCATCAAATGTTTGTTTTTTAATAGCACTTTTGTTCTTTTTTGATTGTGATTGTTGTTGTTGTTGTTCTGTTGTCTTTTGTTTATCTTTTTGATCTTGTTTATCTTGTTTATCATTTGAGTTTAAGTTCTCAGCAATCTCAGTATCAAAAGATTTGAATACTCTAGACATTGTTTGATGTTATGTTCTTGTATATGTTGTATCTTGTGATATGATGTTGTTCTTATTATAGTTGTTTTACTAGTTAATTTAATTTCAGAATGTTAGATTCGTAAGTGACACACTAAACACAGTGCAATGCAATAAAGATAAACTAAGAGATGAACTAATTAGATTATGATTATTGTAATGTATTTATTATATTCTCATTTTATTCTTATTTAGTTTCTGTGTTAGTCAATCTAAAACACTACAAATGCATATTCATTGTATATTGTATTCATATCTATATCTTTACTATAGTAATCTACTACACCGAGTATTAAAGATAAAGTGAATCAGAAAAAACCAGTACAACCCTTTAGACTAACCATTATCTATACATCCCATAACACACCATACACTAACTATACTATTACTACACAATAACAATCCTTTTCTTATACCATCTTAAAATTACACCCATCAAAATTTATTTGACTGCAAAGAAAATCAAAAAAAAACCACAGTGGACAATTGAAAAACCAGAAAAAAAACAAAAAAACGGTGGACAAATTTAAAAATCCAATTAAATTCAATCATTTGACACCAAAACCATCATATCTAAAATTATAATACAATACAAACAAAAACATTGGAATCCATAAGGGGATAGAATATATTATATTGGAAGAAAGAGGAACTCATCAAGTTAAACACAATCATCCTCATACAAATTCATTTCATCCATTTATTGTGTGTATTATTTTTCAAACCGTTAATACAATTAGATTCTCGGGAACATCAACAAAGAAAAAATTAGACCCTTGTATCATACCATATATAAATCATAGACCATAATGAATGAACAATATAATAGATTTGAAGATCAATATCTAGATCAAGAACCTGCTATAATCCTTGATCAAAATCAATCTCAAAGACCAGGATATTATGATTCTTATCAACAACAACAACAAACCCATCAACCACAACAACAATCTCAACAACCACAACATGGTGATATACAGACTTCACAACAAATACAGCAGCCTCAAGAAGGTATAGATGATGAACATAACCAAGAAAATCAAGAGAATGAAGAGCATGATGTGGATCAAGATGATGAAGAACAACAACAAGGTCAAGATGAATTAGAAACAGGTGAAGGTGAAGATTTCATGGGTGATAGTGTATTTAGTAATGTTGGACAAGGTCTCGAGGGGAATTACAAGAATATGATGATGGCTTATTGGCAAGAAACTATTAATAATATTGAACACCAGGATCATGATTTTAAAAATCATCAATTACCATTAGCTCGTATTAAAAAAGTTATGAAAACTGATGAAGAAGTTCGTATGATTAGTGCAGAAGCTCCTATATTATTTGCAAAAGGTTGTGATATTTTCATAACTGAATTAACTATGAGAGCATGGATTCATGCTGAGGAAAACAAGAGAAGAACTTTACAAAGAAGTGATATTGCTGCAGCTTTACAAAAATCTGATATGTTTGATTTTTTAATTGATATTGTTCCAAGAGAAGAGATTAATGGAGTTGGTTCAAATGTTGGAGGTAGTAAAAAACAAAGTTCAAGACAAAATAGTACAACTTCAAATTATTTATCAAATCAAACAAATCCACAATCAAGAAATTCAAGTATAGTTCAACCACCACAGATCCCAAACCAACAAGTTCCAAATCAAGGACAAGGACAAAATAATGAATTTCAACAACAATATTTACAACAACAATTATTACAACAACAATTTTTAAATTCAAAAAATGATGATGATAGAGATGATTCAAATTATCAATATAATGATTTAAATGTTTATGAAAATAGGTTTTAAACTAGAAAAAAAGTTTTTTTTATATGTTTTATGTGTGTTTCATGTGATTTTGTTTTGTTTGTTTATCTTTTTTTAGTATGTTTTATTATGTTTAATTAAAATTAGTTTAAATCATGTAGTCATAGATTATAGCGCTATATAATATAGATATATAATATAAACATTAAGATAAGACCGCCTCTAACGAGGCTAATATAAGCGACTCGTTACCTCGTCGTTTTATTTATTCTCAGCATGGAAGAAATTAACAGCATATAATTCCAAATCATTCTCCTTAGCATATTTGGCAACACCAGTAGCAGGTTCTCCATACCCCCAATTAATACGATCTTTTGGAGCTTTTAAATCTTCAACACCATGAGGTTGTTTATACAACAAAAAAACATAACGATGTTTCCCAGTTCCTTGTGGAGGTGCAGGACCTTGATAACTTAATAATTCTTTACCTTGAGAATCTAAATTCAATTCAGTTGAAAAAAAATCAGAATCTTGTGATGCATTTGATTGTGATTTTAATAATAAGTTGGTATGAATGAAATGTGCATATTCTGACCATTTTTTATCTGTACGAGATGGGGCATCTGGATCTGTAAGGATTAATGTGAATAAATCTGTATCTTTAATTTCCTCCAATGTTGATGAAGAATCTTTATTTGTTGGATTGAATGTGAATTGGAACTTTGGTGTTGTTTGAGTATCTTCAATCCCTAAAGTATTACCAAGGGCAACTTCATTTGAATTCCCATAACTTATAGTTAATAAACCCTTTGGTTCAAATTTTTGATCTTGAACAACATCTGATAAAATTTCATTCTTGGTTAAACTTTCAATTATTGAATTTGATATAGTTAATAATGGCATTTTAGATTGGTATTGATAAATTGATGGTTTATATAGTTGTGTTGTTGATGGTTTAATTGTTCTTAATGGTACTGAAGTACGTAATAATTTTGGGAAATTAAACATTTATATATAGTTTGATATAAGGGGTTATAGAAATGGAATTGAAAAATGAGCAATTGAAATTGTTTTATAGTTTTGCTGTGGATTTACTTTGTTTGGTATTATATAAGTAAAAGGGGATATAAGGGAATTTAAATTTTGTGTGAGTTTTCAGTTGCGAATTTCTTAAAGATTTATAACAATGATTTACAATTTGATAGAATAGGTATATAATTAATAAGAGTACTAGTCAATTGAATACAGTATAAGTTAACTAATGGTATATAATTCAAACGAAAGAAATCAAACCATAATTGGGTATAGAATCTATTCATTGGGTATTATTCACGGGTATTAATTAGATGTGTCAAGTACCAGGAAGTACATTAAGGGACAATTCAGGAACAATAAGGAATTTAACCATGAATGATAAATATATATAGTTCAAATAACTCTTTCAATACAATTCAATTTCTTTTAAACAACTATACAAGTCTTTCAATCAATTAATAAGTAGTTTACAATTTGTTTAGTTTAGTTGTTAATTACTATGCTTTATACGAAGACACAACTGGTGCTTATATTTACACTGATACCGAATTTCACTGCGTAAATATCAGCACTGATATATTATTCACATATTACGTAATCCAATTGTTTCGCGAATGATTTCTTTCAAAACAAATTAAATTTCCAACATCAACAAAGAATCAATAGACAGTGGAATACAGATCTAAAACATCATACCCGCCCAAAAGCTCAAACGGTTATAAACCAACGATAGACACAGTTCCAAAATGAGCCAGGTAGAACAGCTCAACCAGGCGAAACAATTCGTTCAACAAAGCCCTTCCGCTTTCAATCAAGTTGTACAAATGGTTGTACCAATAGCGATATCTAGTCAAGATTTACCAATTCAACAATGGTGTACAGATTTTTTTTATGAATTTACTTTACCTGAAAAAAGAGAGATATCTTTTTATCAAAAACAAGATGCTGCCATGATATTGATTGGTGCTTTAAAACAATTAATTCATATAAAAGATGTTACAATTTTAAAAAATATTATATTAACAATGACAAATATTTATGAATTAATTTTAGATTTAGTTGCAAAAACTTCAAATCAACAATTATGGAATGATTTTATCGAGGTGAAAAAATTTATTATAGATCAATGGTCAACTACTTATCCATTAAATTCATCAAATAATAAAGAAATTGATGAAACTAAATCAATTGGTGTAAAATTAACAATAGTGAAATTTATCGTTAAAGTAATTGTTGTTCAAACTCCTACTAATAACGCTACTAAAGATCCAAGAAGAGCTAACCAATTGAATGGTGGTAGTAGTAATAATGAAATCTCTATATCAAACGTATCAGATAATCATATAGTTTTATCGAAAAATATTTTAGATGCTGAAGCTCAAGGTTTATTAGATTTATTAATTAATTATTTAAATGATGAAGAATATTTAATTCCACAAAAATTTATATCAATCTTGAATGGATTAATTATTATAATTCAAAAACGTTATCATATATTCCAAGGGAAAATTTTAAATTCAATTTTAAATTTTAAATTAGATGAAAAATTTCAATTATCCAAAGATTCAAATTTAAAATTTAAATTATCTAAAAGATATGTTGATAGATATATTAAAAATTTATTAAATTATTGTTCAAGAGCAAATATTATTACTCAATCAAATCCATTATCTTTAAAAGCTCAAAAATGGGTTACTTTAATTGATACTAAAATGAATGAACAAAAAAGAAAAGGTATCTTGACAGATTTAAATGATGATGATCAACCATTAAGAAAGAAAATTAAACTAGAATCAACAACAACTACAACACCTTTATTAAATAATTCAATGATTAGTGATGATAATTCTTATGCTTCACTTTATAGATTAATTGATTCAAATAATGAATTAACTAAATTTGATGTATCACAAATTCCATCATCAATTTTATCAAATTTAGCTATTTCAACTTTATTAAATACTGATACTCAAAAATTAATTAGTGCTTTAAGTATAGTATCTGCAAGATATACTGATTTAATAAATAAATCACAACAAGTACAACAACCACAACCACCTCAACAACAAGTACCACCACCACCTCCACCACCAACTACTGCAACATCTCAAACTTCAACAAATTTCACCAAGAATGAAATTGATGATACAGAAAAAGATGATTTAGATAATAATCAAATTTTATCACAAAATGAACAAGATGATTCAAATTTAGAAACTACATATACATTACCATTACCAAATTCTCTTTCCCTTGATGAAAAAAAAATTCATTTAAAATTTATAATTGAAAATTTTTTTAAAATTTCAAATTATAAGATTGAAGATAATACTCCAGAAAATGCTGGATTAGAACCTTTAGATAATACTTTAAAAATTAATAAGATTGCTATAACTAAATGGTCTAAAAATTCTTGGTTAATTTTATTAACAAGATTAGCAACAAGAGGTCTTGCATCAACTAACCAAGAAGAAAGTGAAATTTTAAGTGATATAGTTCGTGAATCTTTATTTCAATTTTTTTTAGAAAATATTCATGAACGTATTGATATTATAATTGGTTGGTTAAATGAAGAATGGTTTGCAGAATTTAATAAAAATTTAGATGATGAATCCCTTACAACAAATGATGACAAAATTCCAAATTATTTAAAATGGACAGGAAAAATCTTGGATACAATGATTCCATTTTTAGAATCAAATGATAGGAAAATTTTCATTAGATTATTATCTGATTTACCTTACTTAAATAATGAATTAATTTTAAAATTAAAATCATTATGTATTGATCCTGAAAGATCAAGCTTGGGATTCCAATCTTTACAATTTTTAATAATGTTTAAACCTCCTGTTAAACAAGGTTGTATTGATATTTTAAAAGATCTTTATGAAAATAATGAAGATTTAAAAGAAAGTGCTAAGAAATTATTACAAAAATACGTACCTGGTGAATATGATTGATACTCTCCGGGTATGCTCTGTGTATTATATGTATGTTTTGCTACATTAAAATGACAATAAAAATTGCTTAATTAATAAATAAAAAAAAAAAGTGTATTCGACGTTCTCATTTCTTTAATTTAAATTTAAATTTTGATTTTGCTTTTGATTCAAGTTCTTTTAATCGTTGTCTTTCAGCTAATCTTTGTTCATATCTTTCTCTATATCCTTGAATAACTTCATCAGAAAGTAAAGGAGGTATTAAATGATCTCTATTAAATCGGGTTGATTCTATTGTATGTGGATTTGGTAATGAATTTGAATTATTATTAGGATTATTATTCCCTTCATCATCATCATCATCATCATCATTATTATTATTATTGGTTGATTGTTGTTGTTGATTCATATTGTTTAGGAATGATGATGTATATATTATTTCTGTATTATTGGTTGATTCATTTTGGTCTGTTGAATCTTGATTTGTCTGATTTTGATTTTGATTATTATTTGTTATATTATCACGAAATGTATTTATATCATTATTTATCCCCTTTTCTAATTCCAATTGTTCTTTTATTCTTTGATCTTTAAAATTTTTATATGATTTTGTTATAAATACTTCTTTATCTTTAAATTCATCACCTTCTAATTCACGTTCTTTTTGTTGTTTTAAATCTTGTAAATGTAATTTATCTAAATTTCTCTTCTTTTTAGCTTCTAATAATCTATCAATATATTTTGAACCATTTTGATCATTTACAGGTTTAGGTTTCTTGGATTCCCTAGCTGATTGTATTTCATCATAAACTTCATCATATTGATACGCTTCAGGATCCTTAGCCTCATATTCTTGTGCCTTGATTTGATTTTGTAAACTTTCAGCTAAAAGATCTTTATTTGTTCTTGGTCTTACTTTACCAAAACTTTTCCCTCCAAATCGACGAGCAACTGGTTTTTGCTGTACTTCATCTTCAGACCCACTATCACCATCATCAAAACCCAACGCTACCCTGCTCATCATACCACAATATAATTGAAATCTAAACCGATAAACAAAAGTTTACTGGTACAATTCATCTCCATATATAATTTCAAAATTCGCGACGGCGGTTTTATAGGCGCGAAATTTCCGATTTTTTGATTAGGAGCCAAACTGTTCAAAACATAATGCATCAGAAATTGTACTTAGATTGACAAAGAAGAATTAAGGACAATCTCAAGGAAACAAGAGTATAGTCAAGGGTAAAATTCACTGTGATATATTTGAATATCTCAGTTTCAGTTTCATCAAAAATCCTGTGTTTTTATCTCGTTTGAATTGGTGGTATATTAAGAATTGTTTTGGTTATCGAGGAAGGTTCAAATATTGAACATTATAATCCATTATTTCAATCATCAGAAACTTCATTGAATTTATAGATTAGATCAAGAAAAGCATCAGAAGATATCATGAGTGGCGCTGGATTCGACTGGCTTAATATAGCTGGATTGAGTTCTGATAGTAATCTTCCACCACCTCCAGTATCATTTGGCGTTACTCCCACATCATCAACATCTTCAGTCAATTTGGTTCAACAAAATGGACAACAACAACAACAACAGCCACAAGGGAACGGTGTAGATTTTCAAAGGCCTGTACCACCACCACCACCATCACAGAGTAAAAGTGAAGATGTATTATCAAAACCTACATATATTGAAGATGATGAAGATTTAGCCGTTCCATTATCACTTACAATAGAGCAATTAACAAAAGATGAAGCTAAAACTTATTTAAGATGGTATAATGATATTGTTGTTAGAAAAAACACCAAACTAATACGGTTAAGTGATGTTTTCAATTTTTTAAACAATTTCAACATTTTAGATCAAAATAGATCTATATTAGAAAAAATATTTAGATCATGTACTTCATTAAATATTGGAGAATTTTTTGCATTGTTGAGATTAATTTCACATACAATCTTAGGTACGGGTATACCATCAAGAAAATTAATAAAAGTTCCTGCTCCAATACCCAAACCTAAATCAATTTTATCCAAGAAAAGAATGAATGATTTAGAAAATGGAGATGATGATAATGATAATGAATTTATGAATAAATTAACAAGTAATACTGGCTCTGATGCAAGTAAATTTGATTTAGATTCTTTTACACAATTCATATTAACGGGTGAAAGACCTGAAGAACGTCAAAAAAAGAAGAAAAAAAATGGATTATCTAAAAGAGTCAAATTTTCTGATGAAGTTTCAGTTGAACCAAGTGCAGAAGCTGCAGAACCTGTTAATTTTGATTTAACATTACCAATGGATCAATTATTAGGAAGATATAATAAACCAAAACCTCAACCATCACCTGAATCTTCTGGTAAAATTAATGAAGATGAAGAATTACATGAAATGAAGGATCAATTTGATCATTTTAAAAATGTTAAAAATGTTGATAGTGCTTTAGTACATGGTACTCCGGCAAATATTCCATCAATTTTCTTTGATCATGAAATGGGGAATAGTAATAATGGATCACCAAGAGTTTCTTCACCAGATCCTTCAAGTCAATTTAGATTATTATCACCAAATCATACAGGTCCTGTTAGACCTTTACCTCCAAATCATACTGGTCCGGTACTAAGTCCTGGAATGTTACAACCAAATACAACAGGTGGTGGTGATATGTTTTTAAACAGTTTATTAACAAATCAATCACAACATCAACAACAAGCTCCTCCTCCACCTACAATGCAACCTTTACAACAACAACATACAAATGGTCAACTGGCTCCAAACTATACAGGATTGAATCAATCACAATTACAACCAACAATGACTGGTTCATTATCATCTCAAATGCGTCAAAATTTTAATCCAGATTATAGAGCTGGTTCTGCATCACCAAATTTAGGTAATAATCTTTCAGTACCACAACCACCACAAAGTCGTCAAAGATCAGCATCATCACCAATCCCATTTGATCCAAATTCTTTACATGTTCCACAACAACAACAGCAACAACAACAGCAGCAAAGAGCACCATCACCAATTACATCATCAAGATCTCCTCCTCCACCACCTCCTCCAAGATCAAGAGCCAATACATTATCAGCACCACCTCCACCACCTTCAAGAAATTCAAATCCTGGACCTGCATTACCACCTAAAATCCCAATGAATAATAGTCAATCACCATCACCATCACTTTATCAACAGCAACAACAAGGGTTTAATGCTTCACCTTATGGACAAAGAAATGATAGTGTTTCAAGTAGTACGGCTGATATTCTTGGTGATTTGAAAGCATTACAATCAGAAGTTGATAAGATTCAATATTATCGATAGAAAAGAGAAGAAATTACACGCCAAAGATTAATGAAAGTACAATGAACATTTTATTATGTTTTTTAAAGGAGTATACATTTTGCATTTTTTGAGTTTTTTTGTAGCTTGTTTATGGTCTATGATTTGCTGTTATAAGCGGAATAATTTGAAAATTACCACTATCTCAGAGACTTATAAGAGTCACCTTTCAATCCAGGAGTAGGTCTACCAAGGTGTGATACATAAATCGTTTCTTATATCAGGTAGATTTCTTCAAATAAGCATCATAAATTTGATAAAAATTGTTCCATAAAGAATGAAATCTCGGTGGTCCGACCCGCGAATTTAATTATTGTTGAAAAAATCAAAAGCTTAGAAATCAGGCTTCAAAAATTGGTTGTTTGAATCTTCAGAGATCAATTTCTTAAATTTGAAGAATATTATCTACCACCATTAAAGAACTCGCTTCAATTTTTACAATGTTTCGTCTAAGATCTCTTCAATCATCTTTGGCACCACTAAGGTCCTCAACTCTCACAAGACCAGTTATTCTAAAACCAAGTATAATAAGCACAAGATTTTACAGTGAAGAAAGATTAAGTGATTATGAACAACTTATTTATAACAAATTGTATAAAGAGTTAACTCCAGAATCTTTAGAAGTCATGGATATCTCTGGTGGTTGCGGCTCCATGTTTGCTATCAGTGTCGTTTCACAAAATTTCAAAGGTTTAACTATGATCAAACAACATAAATTAGTTAACTCTATATTATCTGATGAAATTGCTAAATGGCATGGTCTACAATTGAAAACTAAAGCTCCAAAATAAAATTTATTATATTTATATTCACCTCTTGTACATACTGGAATGCATGTTGTAATTATATTTATCCCCTAATGTAGAAGTTGTATGTTATTAATTTTAATTTTTTCTATGACTGTATTAGTATACTCTAAAGCAGCGACTCTTCTTGATAATAAAATTCAATCAATTTCTAGACTATATGATTCCATATCTCTAATCTTATATCATAAATTCCAGCATTTAATTTCAAATTTAGTTAAATCCAATACAGCTCTTGCATCTACCACTGGTCCAGAGAAACGACTTATCTTATCAACATATTCAGAACCGAGAAAGTAAAGAGTTAAAAAGTCTAAAGATGGTGACTCCTGTGGATGAATGTAACTAAATATTTTAACTGTATCAACTATCTTTGGATGTTTCCATTCAAGAGCTTGTAGATCTTTATAAACAGTATGACCAATTATAATATCTTCAGCGCTAACAATCTTAAATAACCTATCTTGTATATCTTTGAGACTAAACCATGAATGTTCAATAAATCTTATTGGAGTTTGACTATTGTGTTTAGCTAATACAGTTTTAATCTGGCCTCTAGGTCTAATGAGTTCATCGAACACCACTTTACCATCAAAATCAAGTAACATAATATGACCAACCTGCCTTGTATCATCATCCATCACAACAAACTCACACCCTAAAGCATATGCTTTTGTAGGTCCTTCTGTATTGGAGAACTGACTTGAAACCCAGTTTTCTCTTATGGTTTCTCCTCCATCTGGGCAACCTGGAGAAGCAGAATGAATTGGGTATCTTCGATCCTTCTTCATATCCTCAAATGTTAAAATCAATGATCTCAAATCTTCGATTGTAGGACGCGGCATTGTTGACTATTGCTCTGTGCTAGTTGATAGTTGATCATAATGAGAAAGTAATTAGTAGCAGGAATTAATCAATATTCGTTATACTTTCGATGTTTTTGTGTTTTGATGTTTTTGTGTCATCATCATGCCTGTCAACTTACCGTGACGATAACATATCGGGAAATAGATTAATAGTAAATAGTAAAACACTACTCAAACCAAGGCAGTAATGATCTATTACAATGATTTATAAACTAAATTCAATATTATCATATGCAATGACTAGGTATTAAATATACATCATCTAATATACAAATTAAGAGCTTTATCTCAAAATAAAAGCAAATCCACATTTCTATAATTAAGCAACAATTTCTTCTTTTTCTTCCAAAATTTCTTCTTTAATTTCTTCAATGACTTCTTCATCTTCATTTGAAGTTGATTCTTGAACGATACCATAATCATCTTTATGAGAGTCAATAGTAGATCTCCAAGAGGTCCATTCTTCCAATAGACGACGACGGTTCAAGATTAATTCTCTTGTAGCTTCACTGGCTTCCATAGCATCAGATTCATCAAATTGAGCAGAATATTCACGTAAGTTCTTTCTAACTTTCTTACGATCACCACCAGTCAATAATGATTCTGGACGTGGTCTCCAAATGAAAGCTTTGAAATCATCTATTAATTCTTCTCTCAAGACATGACCTGCTAAATCTAATAATCTATAACCATTTTCAATTTTATGTCTCCAGAATGATGACCAAGCGGCAACAAATCTTCCTGATGGATCCCATTCTAAATCTGTTAAACCAGCATATTCTAATTTACCTATTTCTCTAACATGAGCGTTAACTTGAGTTGATTCAGATTCTTTCTTTTCACCTGGATAATCCATATCATAAAATTCTAAACCACCTTGAGATGATGTACCAACAGTGGAAATGACAAGGAATCTACCTTTTGGAGCCCAATTAATTGTATTACTGAATTTAGGTTCGATAACTTTAAATGCAATCCATTTTTTCAAATTAGCAATTTTACCCTTTGATGGTAATTCTGGAGCGTAAAAAGTGATTGCATTTCTTGCAATAGCTGGATTGGCACCTTGAACTTCAGGTCTTGAAATTGTAACAAATCTATCACCTTTTGGTTCCCAACCAAAGTTAACAACTCTATCTTTTAATTCAATTTTTTCAACTGGAATTTCCTTTTCATTTAATTTGAAAAATTCCAAATTGGTGAATAATGTTTTTTTAGATTTAGTATGACGATCAACTTTAACAGCTAAATATTCTGCATTATCTTGCCAGTGTAATTTAACATCTGAAACTTGGAACAAGTTAATAGTTCTTAAAACTTTCTTTGATGGAACTTCTAATAATGCAACTCTAGCAGTTTGGTTACCAGTTTCTGGAGTCCAGTAAGCTAAGACATGAGTTAATGGATCTTGTTTTTTAGCAGTAGCTAATTGAACACCATGTGGAGCAAATTCGAAATCCATAATGTTGTCAATTTTCAATGGTTTTTTATCTAATAATGCAAAATCTTCAGTTGCATCATAAATAGCTAAAGCATTTGGACCTAATCTGGCAACATATTTACCATCATGGGACCATTTCAATAATGGCCAGATCATTTCTTTTCTTTGTTCTAAATGTGGTGGTAAGGCAAAAGTACGAGCTGGTAAACCAGTAGCAATATCCCAAATGATTAATTTATGACCTTCAGATTCTGGACCGAATGGGAATGAAGCTCTTTTTGGATGATCTTCTGGTGGTAAAATGATTGGTTCTGGTGATAATGAGATCAAGTATTTTTCATCTGGTGAGAAATCAATCAGACGAACACCTGGATGTGAGAATCTTTTCAAACTTTTGAAATCTCTACCACCCCAAGCTTGTAAACCTTGAGGATGAATTGAGAAAACATATGAACCTTTTGGTGAAAATTTAATGAAGCTAGTAGTCCAGTTTAATCTTGGTTCAATAGCAGGTTCTGGGTTTTCTTTCTTTTTGTTCCAGAAAACACCAACCATTTCTTGTTTTTGTAAGATAAATTGATCTCTACCTGATTCATCTTGTAACCATGATCTTAAGTAATCAGTTTCTTCAAATGGCGGTAATTGAGGTTCTTGGAAATCATCAGTGACATTACCTTCAGCACCATATTTTTCAATATCAGTTAATTTATTCAAGAATAATCTATGTTTAACATCTAATTTTTTACCATTTAATGATTTGATTGTTTTTTCAACAATTTCCGGAGTTTCATATTCAACAAAAGCAAAACCTCTAGTTTTACCATCTTCAATTGGCATATAGAAATTGGTGACAGTACCATGTTGACTTAATAATTTAGTTAAAACTTTAGTTAAAATTGGAACTTTAGCTTCTGGAGCAATTGGTGCACCATCAACAACTAAATATTTATCAAATGAAGTATCATCTTCAACAGCATATTGTGCTTCTAAATCAGAGAAATCGATATCATCGACTGGAATATCTTCCAGTTTTGGTTGTTCTAAGCCCATGTTTCAAAAAAAAAGAGTTTATGAATGAAAACAAACAAATTAACTCTTCGATCGGTCTATGTGACTTTTCTGTTGATAATATTAAATCAAATCAATTCTTCTACAATATACGCCAAAACCAAAATTTTTCACCAAAATCAATAAAATGTGTTGAAAAAATAATCGCGGAAAGTGGGTGAACCAATAAATTGTTAATCCATTTCACAAGAGGGTAACGCTTATGATTTCGCGCCCGCGCTGTTAACTATGGAAATTGTATTAAAATGGTAGTTTGAAGGTGATCTGTCTTTTGTATGAAGTCTAGCGTATAATTGAAGTATTCTGGTGCACTGAATTATATCATATCATAGAAAAGTCATGGATTAAGTGCTAAGAATTGAAAGAAATTCAGAATTGTTGAGTTTTTCAGTCACCTGACTGATCACATTCTTAATAATTTCCGAATCCGTCATACGCGTATTTTGAAATCATTGTTGATGTTTTAAAATTGTAGTGAGATTGGTATGTATCTGGTACATCTCTATAAGCGCTTGATCCATCACATTATCATAAGCCAAGGCGCGCTTACACCATTGGAAACAATTCCAAGCTGTCCATTTATTCACCATCAACAACCCGTTTGAACCCAATCACTCAATCCAATCGTGACGCAATATAGTGTTTTGTTTGAAAAGTAAACACTGCTCATCTCACTAAATTTAAAAAATCCTTGTACATCGAAATTTGGTTATAACTACAACAACCGTCTGCCAAATATAAACAAAGGAGTAGCTGAGACACTATTAACAGGGCGCTAAACTAGTTGACCAGGCCGGATTGCTGCTAATAGAATTTCCAAAACAAGATAAGATCAATGGAATATCCTAAGCTCAAACCTCGTCGCTCAAGGCTCCAGGATGAGACTTTAGAGAGTATATCTAACTTCAATGATCTTTCGTTAAATAACCAATTACAGGGAAGCCCCAGAAATGAGAATATACAGAGCGGTAATGGTATAGAAGTGAAGCATGGATATTTATACAATGGATCAGACATTGGTACATCTATAAATGTGAAGAGTTCGAAATTTGATGACTCCAATTACAATTCAATTCAAGAACATACTATTGACCATGAAGATGGTATAACCCAAAAAGATGGTGATGAAGATGGAAATATAGATGATGGTCAATTTGATGAAAATACTAATGAAGTTAATGAATACTGGACGAATGAAACTAGAGATGGAATGATACAACAAGACCAAGAGGCAAATCCAGAGTTTGATAACGACCAGGACCAGGCAGAATCAAATGATGATGATGGTGAAGATGATGAAGATGAAGATGAAGATGATGACGATGCCAATGAATTTCTCAACTCAAGCACGTTTCTGTCTAATTCACAAATCATAAGGTCAAAGAATCTCAACAACTTACAATCCATAAATCATAGAAGTATTTCAAGTCCAACACCAGCGCTTAAGAATTCAACTCCAAAACATAAAACCCATTTCAATTTCAACAAATCCAGAATAGACTCTTCTCAATTATCAGATAACTCAGATCAAAGTGGTGATGAACAGAATGATGAGAACCGTGATTATAACAACAAGAGTACTATCGATCTTGATAACCCTAATTCAACACCCAAGATACCCAAAATGCATCCAGATACAACTCCATGGAGGAAACTACGACCAGCTAGTGCCTTACACACAAAGGATCAACAATCCATACATCCTTTGCCATCATCAAAAGCAAATGATTTGAATTTTATGAAATCTTTATTTGATGAAAACACAAATGAGGTTAAATCACCAATAAGATCAGTATCTTTATTCGAAACTGGTATCGGTAAAGGGACTGATAGTTTAGGATCAACAACTGTTGGGTCATCGTTTGAAGTGGAAAGCCTTAAAAAACAAATAACAAGTTATAAACTGCAACAAAGACTGTTAACAGAATTCATAAGAAATATAATGAACTCTACAGGAAACAGTGAAGAAATAAAGAATGATTTTATGGAACGTCTGGAGAGGGAAAATAATTTGCTATTCAGTGAACGCTCAAAACTTCAGAAAGATCTGAAAAATAATCAAAAAGCTCGTGAAGAAGATCAATCATCAAAACTTGCTGAAAAGGATAAAGAAATCGTGGAGTTGAAGAATGATTTGATAACAACCTGTGATCTAAATAATGATTTAAACTCATATATTGATGAAATTAAAGCTCGTGCAGACCAACAAGGTGCATTGATTGATAAATCAAATGAAGATTCTGATAGATGGGAATCTTTAGTTAATGAAATTTTGACATTATTGCTGGATGTTTTGAAAGGTGAATCAGCTAAAGCGGTATTACAAGCAAGAGATCAATCAAGTTCTTTAGATACCAAACTCAAAGTCATTTCATTAGCTATAAATGAAATTTTAAAGGACTATAAAGAGTTATCAAACAATCTTTCCAAAATGGGTGACTATAATATTGATGAAGTTAATTCATTCATTTCTGAAACCAAGGATAAACTTAGCAACTCTCATGCTGTTGAAAATGAGCTAAAGTCTTTATTACAAAAGCAATCAGAGGCATCTAATGCTTTGAAACATGAATTTATAGCACTTCAAAACCAGTTTAAGGAGAACTTGTTATTTGTTGCTAGTCTGAAGAAGCTATTAGGTGAAAAGAGGGATAAAATTGGAGAGTTAAATGGTACAATAATACGATTGGAATCAGAGTTGGAAGATCAGTCGAATCAAAAATCACTTCAAAATGGAAATGAGAAAGAGACTCAATTGTTGAAGAATAGAATCAACATTATTAAAACAAATCATTCAAAAGATCTTGAAAAAATGAATGCTGAAATTGACAATCTAAGACTGGAGATTGATGAATTGAGAAATAAGCCTTCAAGAGATCTTAAACCTTCTACTAGCCATGACTTATTAAAACAAAAACAGGATGAAATATATCAATTGACCAAAGATGTTGAGATATTACAAGAAGAATTGGAATCCAAAGATGACCAGGTCAATGGTGTTGTGTCCAACTTGAAGTCTTTAGTTCGTCAATCCAAGGATGATTATGATGCATTGGTTCAAGATTACCATCATCTTCAACAACAATTTAAAGATCTGCAAAGTGAAAAAGTTTCTAAAGATAAAGAATATAGAAGAAAATTAGAACATGCAGCAAAAGAATTAAATCTGGCAGTTGCTAAACAAAGAAGTCTTGCAGCTGAGAAGAGTAAATTGACGTTTTCTCTTGAGGATTCCAAAAGAGAGCACTCATTACTAAAACTGAACAATAGTACATTAACTGAAAAAGTTGGAAAATTAAGTTATCAAGTCTCTACTTTAACAAATTATGAACTGGGATTCAATAGTTTATTTCAATCACAAGTTACAAATTTTGAGAATTTGTTACATCATTTTGATTCAATATTAGAAGAATCTTCAGTTCATCAAGCACAACAAAAATTGAATAAATTATTAGATTCTCATTTAGATTTTGATCAAGCACAAGCGGTGATGAGATCTTTAACATCATATTTTGAAAATGCTACAAGTTCATTAATTGCAGATCATTCACAATTATTAATCAACTCAAATGTTGAAAACAAAGAGTCACAAGATGAGCTAAATAAACTGAGAGATCAAGTTGATTCGTTAACGGAAGAATTACAATGGTATATTGTCAATTTTAGAGATCGCAATGATCTGAGTCCAAGATCAAAGTTAAGAATTGAAGAATTAGAAAGAAGGAAAAAGGCAGAAAGAGAACGTAGAAAACTTGAGAATGAAGCTTCAGCTGAGACAATAAGACGGTTAGAAAAGGAAAATTCAGAGTTGAGAGAGAAGCTAAAACAATTGAGATAGATCGAAAACGATCATTGTTGTATTATATATGAACACTGGAAGATCAAATATATGTCAAAACTATTTTATGGGAATTTAAAAGAATCAACATTGGACGGAATTAGCCTGTGTATCTTTATGTTATATGTATTATTCTGTACACTTTCTTTAATGTAATATAAGTGAACAATACATGATCGAATTGGTTGATTTAGACAATAGGAAACCTACGATTTTGTCAAGAATTCATGGATCATTTTACTACATTCTCTATATTTAAATGACAATCAAAGTATAGTATACATATATTCTAAGACACAAATAAGTGCAGGTGATACATTTCTGATCTTAATTGTTAACATCCTCTAGATTTATTCAGCCATGTTTTCATCTTCATCATCATCTTCATCTTCATTTAATTTTTGTTCAGCATATTCTTTAGCTTCTTTTAATAAATCAGCTGGAACTGGTTTATGTAAACCATTAGTTTCAGAAGTTGATACCCAACTGATTTCAATTTCGAAATCTTTATCTTTACTATCTTCATGAGCCAAGTAAATAATTCTAGCAGCTTCTTTAACGGCTTCTTTAGCAGTTAAAGTGTTTGAATCTAATTTTTCCAATTCATTCTTAGCACTTTGTCTACCTTTACCAGTAGCAGCACCTTGATAACCCCAGTAAACTCCACTTGGTTCAAGCATGTATAAATGTGGACCATCTTCATCAATACCACCGAAAAGAGCTGTTATACCAAATGGTCTAACAGAGTTATAACATGTGTAAGCTTGAACGTAATTACCTAAACGATCTATTAGATATGGAACAGATATTTGATCTTTATATTGATCTTTGAATGACTGGAATTCATCTCTACCTCTTGAAACTAAATGACGACCATCTGGTAATAAACCTGAATAGGTAACACCGATATGACGACCAATTGTTTGAATTCTGTTATTTTTACCTGGAACTAATAATTTAGAAGTGACGATTTTTTCAACAGCAAGAACAACACCGTCTTTAAATTTGATACCAATTGAGGTACCACCGTTCTCTACAGCCTTAGCTGCGTATTCAACTTGGAAATTTCTACCATCTGGGGAGAACACACTGTTTGATAAATCGTAACCAGTACCGACTGAAGTCTAAGGTGGCGAGTTAGTATTTTGCAACGAAATGAATCAATATTAACTCAATTGAGCCTGAAATTGCAAGTGAAACCTCAGACTTCTCGATTTAATATCATATATTATCTTAACATACCATTTTGTGTGATGTATTATAGTTATGTGTTTGGATCTTGAATATTCCAGTGTCAAGTTTATGTTATGTTCAATATCGCTCAGCTTACTTTGTTGATCCTACGCCCGCGAAAAAATCTGACATTTTTAAGTAGTGTCAGCAATCCGTGACCCGACCAGAAATGTGCCCGCGAATTCATCACCATGAACATTAACAACTTTACATTTATCTATCTCATCTTGTTTTGAATTCTCGTGACAAAAATGTCTAAAGATACTATAAGAGTCATTGTTTGTGGTGATGATGGTATGTTCATCAAATGTATTGATACTATATTATTCCTTTTCTAACCATTTTATAGGTGTTGGTAAATCAAGCTTAATCACTGCTTTGATCAAAGATACATTTGTGCCCAATATTCAATCAGTTTTACCTGCCATTACAATTCCAAGGGATTTTTCGTCTTCTCCATACTCCCCAAATGCTACAGTACTGGTTGATACCAATTCTCAAGATATTCCAGCCTTACAAAAAGAAATTAGAAGAGCTGATGTTATTTGGCTGGTATACAGTGATCATTATACATACGAACGTATTTCATTATATTGGATGAACATTTTCAGATCTCTTGGTGTGAATTTACCAGTGGTTTTATGTGCTAACAAATCAGATCTTTCAACATCTTTGGACTCGGACAGAACTATTTCAGATGAATTTATTCCAATATTGAAAGAATATAAAGAAGTTGAATCATGCATAAGGTGTAGTGCAAAAGATAAATACAATGTTAGTCAAGCGTTTTATCTCTGTCAAAGAGCAGTGACACATCCAATATCACCATTATTTGATGCTAAAGAAGGTAATTTAAAACGAAATGCTACTGCTGCCTTGTCAAGAATATTTTTTTTGTGTGATAAAGATCAAGATGGATTTTTAGATGAATCTGAATTTTTAGCATTACAAAAGAAGTGCTTCGGGAGAAGTTTAGATATTAACGATCTTGCTGATATTAAGCAAGCTGTAAACCAGGTTAAGGAAGGAACATTTGGCTTAAGAGGATTGACAGAAGAAGGTTTCATAATATTGAACAAGATTTTCGCTGAGAAGGGAAGACACGAAACCACTTGGGGGATACTACGTACTTTCCATTATACTGATTCTCTTTCTTTGAATGATAAATTTTTATATCCTGTGCTAGATGTTCCAAGTACTTCAAGTGTTGAATTAAGTCCTATTGGATATAGATTTTTTGTTGATTTATTTTTATTGTTTGATAAGGATAATGATGGTGGTTTAAATGAAGAAGAATTACAATCATTATTCAAACCAACACCTGGTGTACCAAGAGAATGGATAGAAACTAATTTCCCACAAACAACAGTAAGAAACGAACAAGGTTATGTCACACTTCAAGGTTGGTTAGCTCAATGGAGTATGACTACATATCTAGATTATAAAACAACGTTATCATATCTAGCATATTTGGGATTTGAGAGTGCCGCAAAAGGTGGCACCACTGTTGCTTTAAAAGTCACCAAACCAAGAAAGGAAAGGGTCAGATCTGGTAAAAATTATAGAATCCCAGTAAATGATCGTTCTGTGTTCAATTGTTATGTATTGGGTAGTTCAGGTAGTGGTAAATCATCATTATTAGAAGCATTATTAGGGAGACAATTTAGTGAAATCTATAACCCAACTATAAAACCAAGAATTGTTGTTAATAGCGTTGAATTGAAAGGTGGTAAACAAGTTTATTTAATTTTGGAAGAACTGGGTGAATTAGAACCTGCAATTCTTGATAATCAATCAAAACTTAACCAATGTGATGTTTTATGTCTGACATATGATTCATCAGATCCAAATAGTTTCCACTATCTTGTTGAACTAGGTCAAAAACATTCTTTGATATCAAGTGTTCCTTCAATTATAGTTGCATTGAAAGCTGATTTAGATAGGCAACAACAAAGATGTGATATCCAGCCAGAAGAATACACTACTTCTTTGAACATTCCATCACCACTTCATATATCATCAGCATGGCCTAGCTCTTTGACAGAGTTATTTGTTCAATTAGTTGAAGCATCCAACGCTCCTGCTTCTGCTACGCCAGGTCTTGAACCGGAAGTTCCAAATGATAACCTTCAAAACGTTGTATTGGCTACATCTGCGGTTGGATTTATGAGTATCATGTCATTATGGATCTGGAAGATGAGTATGCAACAAAAATAGAGGCTTTCCATTCGATTAATGAAGTTATGAATCAATTGTTTTTTCTACTTTGTCTCGCGTATATGTAGTTTAATACCACCGACGGTCCGCGTCTCCAAACAATGCGATCTGTCGCGAATTATCCCACAGTGGAAAATTTCCCTTTTAAGCTGTCACAAACTTTATTGAAACAGTAGCTGTGATTTTAATTTTTGCAGTAGTGTAAATTCAGATCATCAGACATAATGATTATGAAACGTTTTTGGCCGTAATATCAATATAACTTATAATTCTCTTTTCTTCTGAACCTTTCTAGATTAATCAGACCTTGACTATTCTAATTGAAGGTGTATCAATAACGTAGAATCCTCTAGTTACTATAATGTATACTTTGAAGTTAAATAATTAGACAAATAAGTATTATAATTGATTAATGTTGAATAATTTTATATATAATTATATATATTGTTGTGTTGAACAACTTCGGTATTTTCATAATATGAAAATACTAACATTCTCGATAATGTAGGGTAATATGAAATACCTCAATTATTGCTATTCGAAATTTCACAACTTTGTGAACTTTGTGAACTTTGGAAAAGTATTTAAATGAATTGAATTTGTTACTGATCTGTTTCTTTTTGTTTCATTTCCAATTGTTTGTTCAAAGTTCAAACAAAACAGATATAGCATCCTCATCATGTCATTTTTCGCTTCTACTGGATTCTCATTAACTACTGGGTTCGGTTTATCATCATTGATATCCATAGCTTATGTTTTGATTTTATACACATCCAAATCAGCAGTTGATGGTAAAGAAATTGATCGTAATGATCCTCAAGTGATCACTTCAAGAATCATTAAAGTCACAAGTTTATCAATCTTAATTGTTGCAATTTTACCAAGTTTATTATCTAAATTATCAGAGGAACCAACTAATAAAATTTATGCTGAGTTAGGTTTCTTACCAGGTTTGAAATATAGATATGGTGAACTTCATTGGGAAAATGGTCATTTAGGCTTGTTCACTAGGGATGTTTTACAATCCTTATTATTGGTTTCAATTTTGTTTGTTGGTCCATTAATTGATGCAGCATTCTTTAGCTCCCCAGATCCTCAATTCATTGTCAAAGAACTTTTGGGTCAATTAACCACACTACAAGGTATTAGAGACTTGATTGTGGGTCCATTGACTGAAGAAATCATTTACACATCTGCCACTATTGTTACATTATACCAAGTTCGTGATGTCTCTACAAATACATTGATTTTCTTACCACCAGTTTTCTTCAGTTTTGCACATTTCCATCATGCATATGAATTATATACCAAAAAGACACCAATTCATTTAATTGGTGCTGTTACAGCTTTTCAATTGTTGTATACATTCCTTTTCGGTATTTTCACAAATTTTGTCTTCTTAAGAACAAATAATTTATGGAGTTGTTTTGCTGTTCATGCATTATGTAACTTTATTGGTGTTCCAAAATTCCAAGTTAGTACTGTCAAATTCCAATATTGGAATTATGTTTATTATGTATTATTAGTTGCTGGATCTATTGGATTTTATAGATTTTTATTCACATTCACTCAAAGTTCTTTAGCATTGGTTCCATGGGGAAGATAATCTTTTATTCATGGTCCTTTAACGAATACCTTACGACAATAAATTATTGTATTATTCATTATATTTTATCAATTGAATGTAGTTGCTACTATAGATAATATAGCTATATTGCAAATATTGACGCGTTGACTCTACAATCTCATATTCTTAACATGCAAAACTCATTAAAATTAAATACAATAACAAAAACTCAAAATCATAACTCTATACTAATCTGTCCTTGTTCTTTATCTTGATCATCTTCAAATTCTTGTTGATTTTCATCCAATTGTTGTAAATATAAAGTATGATTAACTAAATTCAAATAAGAATACATAAAATTTGATAATAAAACTTGTTGTCTTAAAGGTCTTCTTGGATTTGCTAATTTTAAATGACTTAATCTATAAAGTGCTCTTTCAACATGAATTGGGAATCTATAATCAAGCATAACAACTGTTGAATGTGATAATGGTGGTAAGGGAAATCCAAATGCAGAATCTGTAAATTGAACAGGAGCATTTGGTTTTGAAGATTTTTTCATATTTTCTAAACTTAATTTCTTACTTAATGTTTCTTTTTGAATTCTATGTTGTTCTTCATTTAATGCTTGACCTGTTTGTTGATGAAATTGTTGTTGATTTTTCGGATCAAGTGATTGAGATTGTTCATCTTGTTGTGGAGGTGAAGATTCTTGAGATTCTGGACTTATTTGTTGTTGACCAGTTGGTGATTGTTGAAGTTTAGAATCTTTTTGATTTTTTTCATCTTTTTTAGAAACAATAGTGACAGATTCTTGTAAATTTGAAGTTTTTGATTTTTCATCAGATTTTGAAGATTTTAAAATTTTAAATTGTGAACTTTTTGAAGGTTTTAAAGTTGGTCTTTGTTGTTGTCTTGGTGGTGATTTTTGTACTGAATCTTGTAATTGTACTTGTTGTTTCTTTTCAGGTGATACTGGAATATTAAATTGAGTTCCAGTAGGTGATCTATTTTCATCATTAACAGTTGGTGAAGTTTTAGATCCAATAGAAGGTAATGTTTTTTGATTCTTTGGTGATGGAGATCTTTTCTTCTTGAACATCTTCAAAAATGAATTATCTTTCTTGGTTTTCTCTGGTTTTTCAGGTGTAGTTTGTGGAATTTGTTGTTGCTGTGATTGTTGAGATTGTTGTAGGTTGAAACTAGATGATGTAGGTGATGAAGATGGTGATAAACCAAATGAACTTGTAGTTGGTGATAATGTTTTTGTAGGTACATCATCCTGAGCATTAGTACTTCCAGAACTTATACTTCTTTGTTGTGATGATTCTTTTGAATTTATGGTATGATTAGAATGCAGGGGTTGATGTTGTTGAGGATGATGTTGAGAACGTTGTGGATTTTGTTGATGGTGATGAAGACCCTGCTGTTGTGGTTGATTATGATGATGATGATTTTGTTGTTGCTGTTGCTGATGTTGTTGCTGTTGGCGATGCTGTTTTTGTAACTGATGACGATGCTGTAGTTGTTGTTGCTGTTGTGGAGTCAAGTTTTGTTGTTGATGCGTTTGAGGTAATTGTTTCTGTTGATGAGTAGATCTATGATGATGACGGGATGTTTGATCATTTTGATCATTTTGTGGTATAGAAGGAACAGGTTTTTGTTGAGGATGTGTTGGTAAAGGTCTTGAATTTTGAATTTCATTTAATGTTGATTGATTTTGTGATATTTGTCTTTGATAAGGTTTTTGATTTGTTGATTCATGTGATACAACTCTTCTTTGATTTGATTGTGTGGATAATGAAGATGAGGATTGTGATGTTGGATCTATACTTATCGTTGAACCTGCATGTCTATTTCTTGAATGATTTGTTCTTTTCTGTGGTGGGATTGCTGTTGATGGATCTGATTGAGATCTTGATAAATTATTTGAACGACCTCTTGATTGATCTGCAAGTATTTTTTGCTTTTGTGGGTCTTGTAATGGGACATTTCTCATTGGAATTTCATTATTGTTATCATCGAAAGAAGATGAAGATGAAATTGAAGTTGAAGATGATGAAATTGGTGGATTTGGGGGTAATTCTTTTTCTAAATTTAATTCTTTTTCTTGTGAAGTTGATTGTGGAATGAATTTATGTTCATCAGCTAATGGTGAATGAGCTTTTGGTCTTGGTTTATCTTTACCACCTCTATGACTCCTACTATATGTAGTCCATTTATTTCTTCTAAGAGTATTTGAACCTTCACCTAATAAAGGAGCATCTTGATCAGCTTCATCTTCTGAATGGCGTTCAATAAGTGAACTTGATCTTGAAGGTGTTGTAGAGTTGTTGTTATTCGTGGAAGTTGGTGAAGTTGATGGTGTATTTTGAGAATCTTGGAAAAATCTATTTTCATCTTTATCTAATAATAATGATGAAGAACCACTTGCTGATGATAAAGATCTTGCTAATGTAACAGCATCTGTTGCAGCAAGACCAGCCATTTCAGATAATCTATCCAATTCATCAGTTAATTCTTTTAATGATGGGATTGAATCTTTTGAAGTTAAAGTTGTATTTAAATGAGCTTTATCACCTAATCTATGATTCATATCATCTATAGTTGATTGGACATGACGACGGAATTGATCAGGTGCAATATTTGGATGTGATTTAGCAGGGACCCATAATAATTTTTCAGCATTTAGTTTAACATCATCATCATCATCTTGATCTTGATTTTGATGGTTATTTGAATCATCATTTCTTGTCTTATCAGGATCATCATCTTCTGTTAAAGTTTTCTCTTTATCATCATCCGTAGAGGATAATGTAGTATTTAAACTTGAATCTGAACTTTGTGAAGATTTTCTTCTATGATGATGATTTCTTGAATAATCATTATAATTAAAATCACCATCCACTCCATAAGGTAAATCAGGATCAACATTTATTGAACTTCTACCAATTGATAATCTCTTTAATGCAGTAACGGCATCACGTTCTTGTTCAAGAGCTTCAGCAGCCATATAAGCATTTGATTTTCTTTTAGCTTTTTTCAAATCTGAATCATGTTGAGAAGAATTCCTTTTATTTAATTGTTCATTATAATCTGGAGTTAATTCTCCTGTTGAATCTGATTTAGACATTTCAACATGTGAATCTGAATTTCTTTTCTAGTTATGCTTTTTAATTTAATTGAATATGAATGTATATATAGATCTTTTTTTTGAAACAAGCAAATGGTTATTGAAAAAGAATGAACAAGAATTTTTGGGTATTAAATAAATATAATTAGCAATTGAAGAATTAGTTGAATAGCTGAAAAGGGATTTGAATAAATTAATATAGATTCAGTGTATGTGATTCAACAATCTATGTTTATGTTATAGCTAATGGATTCTTGTCTATAATTCAACTTATTCAGATCTCTAGTACATATTTCTCAAATACCATTTATTCAATTTTGAATCAAGGTTTTGAACGCGTAAATGTCGAAATCTGGGAGAAGCTTAGTCAGCGCGGTCGTGAGATTAATTAACTAAAACATTGGGGATGCATTTTATAGAGGATTTTACAATGATATATAGAAGTACAATGGACTGTGAATGATCTACGTCTCAGTATATATTTAATCCGTTTTTTCACCAGAACAAATACGTCTTTTATAAGCCAAGTTTCAACCGTTGTTTAAAATGTTTCTTGTGAGTTGAAATATTAAACATTCGCGTATATTTAAATTTAGACTGGTTATACACAAAGGTTTTAGTTAGCATTTCCTTATTAGGAAGTCAAGGATAATATACTAGACATAATTAATAAACATTAATAGAATATGATGATTGATCTCTGGTAATTGGTAAGTTTAGTACATTGTTTGTGTTGTGTACTCTGTGTGTATAGTACTGTGCTGTTCCTGGTTCCTACTTGTGACGTGTTGTTCTGTGTTCTGTGTTTGTTGTGATTGTCGATTGTCAGAATGAGAATGAGAATGGAATCAAAGTGAACTCATTCCAGAATCCACACTCAAGCCGTGAAATCTTGGTTGGAAAGGGTATTGTTTGAAGAACAGACAACCTCACTGGGATACAAACAGACAACCCCAGTGTCTTACCTTCTATATCCTTCCAAGTTATAAGACATCCAGCATTCACTCTCGTTACCGTACAATTTTCATTTTTATGCCATATTGAAAAGTGCTCATCGGACCATTTGGAAAGTGAGTGAAATGGGAGATACTAGTGGGAAAGCAAGGTATAAACACTATTAAAATTGCTAAACCTATGTAACCAACCTCTTAGAATCCAATAAACACCCTCTCAACACCTATATCCTACCACAAATCCCTCTAAAACCATACATTATACCTTTTCACCATCCAAAAGATCAATCGCGACTTTAAATTTCTCCTATTCGCGCAAAAAAGCCAATAACTGAAAAGTAAATAAAAATAAAAAAAGTAACACCATTGCAAAAAAACTTTCAAACTCCTATTTACAAAGCCCATTCTCATTCATTTTTGACATCTCCTGATTCATTTCAAAGACTATCAGATCTCAGAGACAAATAGCAAACTATCAACACATCGTTCATTCTTATATAACAAGGATCATCTCTCATTTATCAACAAGTGGTATTTTAATTTTTTTTTTCTCTTTGTTAAACGGTAAACGGTCTCATCGTATAACGCGGGTGTTTACAAATCAATTAAACAATGTCACAAACTTTACCATTATATTCTAAAAAAACATTAGAAGCTCATACAAATGAAAATGATGTTTGGGTTTCCCTTTATAACAGAAAAATATATAACGTTACTTCATTTTTAGAAGAACATCCAGGTGGTGGTGATTTAATCTTGGATTATGCCGGTAAAGATATTACAGATATTTTAGCTGATGAAATTAGTCATGAACATAGTGAAACAACTTATGAAATCTTGGATGAAAATTATCTTATTGGTTATTTAGCTACTGAAGAAGAAGAAGAAGAATTATTAGCAAATCCAAAACATGATGTTGAAGTTAAAATTGATAATTTACATTCTGTTAATTATGATTCAACAAAATTAGATGGTTTACCAGAATATGAAAAATTAAATATTATTACTGATTTTAGTCATGATTATAAAAATCATAAATTCTTGGATCTTAATCAACCTTTATTATTACAAGTTTTATTTGGTGGATTTACAAAAGATTTTTATTTAGATCAAGTTCATAGACCAAGACATTATGGGAAAGGTTCTGCTCCATTATTTGGTAATTTCTTAGAACCATTATCATTAACACCATGGTGGGTTGTTCCAACAATTTGGATCCCTGTTGATTTATTTATTTTTGGCGTTGGATTTATGAATCAAAATGCATTTTTATCAATTTTCCTTTTCGGGTTGGGGTTATTTGTTTGGACATTAATTGAATATGGTTTACATAGATTTTTATTCCATTTAGATCATTATTTACCAGATCATTCAATTGCTTTTACAATTCATTTCTTATTACATGGTGTTCATCATTATTTACCAATGGATCGTTATAGATTAGTTATGCCACCAACTTTATTCATTGCATTAGCTTATCCTTTTTATAAATTAGTTTTCGGAATTTTACCATTTTATATGGCATGTTCAGGTTTTGCAGGTGGGTTTTTAGGTTATATCATGTATGATTGTACTCATTATATTTTACATCATGCAAAATTACCAAGTTATTTACAACAATTGAAAAAATATCATTTAGAACATCATTATAAAAATTATGAATTAGGTTTTGGTGTTACAGGTTGGCATTGGGATAAAGTATTTGGTACATTTTTAGAAGTTGGTAATAATGCTCAAAAAATGCAATAAAGATATCCAAGTACTTTACATTAAAAAAAAAAGAATAATATTATAAGAACTATACAATTACGATTCATGAAACAACATATATCAAACAAAAACATGTCTTAATCATATATACAACACTTTTAAAATATAATTTTTCTTAATTTATCTAATCTTTGTAATGTCTTTATATCATCTTCACTTTCATAACCATCTGTTGTTTCCTTTTTAAATAATGATTTCATAAACTCAAGAACTTTTGGATAACTTGTATTAAAACAACACCAATCATTATGTTGATCAATTAAATCAATTTCTTCATCTGTGGTTATAAATCTTCGACCACATGATCCACATGATAATAATAAACCATTTGGTAATTGAATTGGTTTCCATCCTAACAATACTAACTTCAAGATATCAATATTATCATACTTAACATCATTTTCATCACACCATTTTATTAGTATATCTTCATCTTCAATATATTTAGTCTTAATGTTAACATCATGTATCTCCCGTACTTGTATTTTGTAATTATCAAGATATTTAGCATCAACATTCAAATCATAACAATTTTTAGGAGTTTGTATCTTCCTCCATGGACAATTCTTACCATGAGATTCAATTAATTCTAATTTATACTTCTCACAAAGTCCTTGAATAACAGCTTCATAATATTCTTCATCAATTTCATCACCACCAAAATTCATTGATTTTGAAAAACTTTCCAAATCTGGGAATTTTAAATGAAAGACAGTATGACATGATACACATCGTATTTGATTTCTATGTATACATGACCAACCATTGCGTGAAATATCAAGTGGTGTTAATGGAATCTTAAAACCCAAGGGACCAATCCCACCATTTGAATTAAAACTTTGAATTCTAGATAGTAATTGAGTTCTATTATATGGTTGGAAAGTTTGTGGTGATTCACAGGGAAGTTCAGGTTCTGGAGTATGTACTCTTCTTGATGAAATAGATCTAAAATATGATATTGTTGGATGAGATTGATATTTATGTTTTGGTTTAGATATTTTATGAGAATGTGAGAAGGATGATAATGGTCTGGGATTGGGACTTGGTTTACCTGGTGTTGATAAGAGTTGTAGTATGCTTTGTGTCTTTTCTGTATCCATTTCTTACTTTGTGTTGTTGGTGTTTGTTTGTTGTTGATAATGGTTGTTTGAATGCAATTTCTGTTAAATTTGTACTGATTTTATTGATTCGAGACCTGTGAAGATGGGATTTTCTTAACTATTAAGCACATAGTAAAGCTCACAACAAATACCCTGTGATACTGGGAACTTATCATATTTAATTCAATTTTAGCCCAAAAGAGACTGTAAAAGCACCAAATGAGGCTAGAAGACGTCCGTAGCCCCTATACATAGTTTACATACACACAATCTCAACAATAACCCCATAACACCCCTTCAAACACCTTCAAAAATCACCAGTTTCAATCATTTTTGTAAAAATTTTCGCTAACTCAAAAAAATTAAAATTACGGGATTTTAGCATTTCATGTTACCAATATTTGAAATTTTAAATTGTGCACAATTTGACACAACTTTCATTGTTCAATTCCCATTGTCTTTTGTTCTTCTTCTCCTGTCAAGGAAGCTTAGACTTGCAAGTTCTTTTTTTGTCGGTGCTAATTGTGGCCAGTTAACCGTTAATATTATCATTTCATAATATAATATTCAATTTCATTTATCCTTAAATTTTAATTAAAAGATTTATATTTTATTATTATAACAATGCAAGATTATCAAAAAAACTTTTTAGATTTAGCTGTTGAATCAAAAGCTTTAAGATTTGGTGAATTTACTTTAAAATCTGGTAGAGTTTCACCATATTTTTTCAATTTAGGTTTATTTTCAACTGGTAAATTATTATCAAATTTAGCTTCATCATATGCAATTGCAATTATTAGTTCTGGTTTAGAATTTGATATTATTTTCGGTCCTGCTTATAAAGGTATCCCATTAGCTGCAATCACTGCTGCTAAATTAGCTGAAATTGGTGGTTCAAAATATGAAAAAGTTGCTTATGCTTTCAATAGAAAAGAAAAAAAAGATCATGGTGAAGGTGGTTCAATTGTTGGTGCTACTTTAGAAGGTAAAAGAATCTTAATCATTGATGATGTTATGACTGCTGGTACTGCAATCAATGAAGCTTTTGAAATTATTGGTCAAGAAAAGGGTAATGTTGTTGGTACTATTATTGCTTTAGATAGACAAGAAAAAACTGTTGATTCTCAATTAAGTGCTACTCAAGTTGTTTCCAAGAAATATGATATTCCAGTCTTATCAATTGTTGGATTAAACGATATTGTTACTTACTTATCTGGTCGTATATCGGAAGAAGAAAAGGCAAAAATTGAACAATATCGTCAAGAATTTGCTCCTGTTAAAATTAATTAATTTTTGTAATGTATGATCATAATATATTTTGAAGAGGAGGATTGTAGTAATACATTTTAGCTCTCAAAAAAAAAAAAACCATTCAAAATTAATAATATACAATTCATTAAAAAATTTACCAAAACTTCATCTTCTTACATGCATGAATTTTTGTTTTGGTTGTTTTGGCATAACAGGTTTAACATCTTCAACTGGTTGTGGTGGGGCTTCAGTATAAATTGAATTTGTCATTGGATGTCCTAAAGTATATCTACTAAAAGCTGGTACAATTGTATTCATTTTAAAACCTTTAACTCTTGGAATTTCTTTTGGTTCAAATCCAGCCATTTCTTGAGGTTTTGGTAATGATTTAATTGTTTGTAATGTAGTTTCATGTTGTTTTAAATATTTAGCAATTTGATTGAATAAATGACGTTTATTATTAACCAAAATACTTTCAGGTTTACCTTCATGTTTTAATGCAACTCTAATACGTCCTGGATTACCAAAATCTTGAGGATGTGTCTTTTCTGGTTCATAAACTGCAACCAAATGTAATGAAACACAAGCATCTGCTATAGTTTTAGCCAAAGGGTTTTCTACAGCTAATTCTTTGGAAACACGTCTACCTTCTTTATGTGATCTATTCTTATCAAAATAACATGGATAAATCAATTGTAATGTTTTCAATTGTGCTAATTCTTCGTCATTAAATTGTTTTTGATTTTCAAACCGTATCCCAGCATCATCATCTATATCATCTAATGAACCTTGGTTCCCAAAATTTGGAAATAATGAAGGTTCTTGAGGTTCACTATCTTGACTTCTAACAACTTTCTTTTCTAATTTTGGAGCTAAAGGAGTTCTAAGACTTGGATCAAACTCAGCCAAGTCCATATCCATGTTGTCAATATCCTCTGCATCACTAATCTCTTCTAATAATGGCATTTTGTCTCTGTTTTGATTTTGATGTTGATGTGTCTTTTTGATGATTTCTCTCAAAGCTTTTTTGATTATATGGGCATTTTCAACGAGAAGGAAAAAAAAATATCAACACTTTTGAAATGCGCACTCAACATATACCAAAAAAACATGAAAACAATTGAAATATTTTAAGAGAAAACCCAGAAACCCCCCAAAGATATAATAGTTCAAGAGATCGGTGGGTTTAATAAGTGATGAGGATGTCAGATAGTGAGTCGGATGAAGATTCTAAAAGAAGGAAGCTGGATACAAAGTCGCATGGGACAATACCAAACATAAGAATTGAAGGTCGTCAAATCTTACAACATTATGAAGAAGATCTTAGAAGTGATTTGGCTGTTCATTTATATTCAGCTCATCTTTCACATCTCCAGGATAAGGATTTCCCAGTGAATTCTTGGACATCATGGCCAATGTCAAGAAAGCGGGTACCCAATCCAAATGTTTTGGAGAAATATATCGATGAAGATGATTTAATACCCAGAGATGATCCTGTATCAAAACTTGACGGTAATATTATTCAGAGGAATCCGAAGAAACAGATACCCATTGAAGAACAACAGCTACAAATAGAGAATGGTAGAGATGGAGAAGATCAAGAAGAAGAAGAAGTAGATAGTGAAAGTGAAGAAGATGATGATGATGCAGAGTTACAATTTGATCGTGAGATACATGCATTATTTCAAAGGAAAATACAAGAAAATTTTGTTTCTTCCAAAAGAAAGATACCTTATGAACTACAGCCCACAGTTGATGATGTTAATCTGCCTGAACATCATTCATCATCAATAAAGAATAGATTACACGATATGATTACAAAGTTCCCTGTTTCAAGCAAATCATTTAATAGAAAAGCTAATTTTGATTGGAAAGATATATTATTTCAATCAGGTATAAAAGATCAAAGGCTTTATGAGAAATTACAAACATTATTCGTTGAAGACGCCACCTCATTCTTGAATGATTTCGAAGCAAGAGAACAACAGGATTTGAGTAATGAAGATAGTGAATCAGAGCAAAGTGAAGGTAATGAAAGTGATGATGATGAAAGTAATAATGCCAAAACTAATGGTAAAGGAAAAGAAGATGAATCAGATGGTGATTTAGAAACAAATGATGACACAACTATCACAACACCGGCTAAGCGTTATGATAATGGTTATAGGGTAGCAGAACAAATTAAAGCAAATTTAATAAGGAAACAAATACGAGATAAATTACTTGAAGAGTTTTTCGAAGATTAACTTGAATATTAACAATTTGCATAATATGGATCATAAATTATTTATTAATTTCAGGGAATATTTCATCCAATATTTTATCAAAGATTTCATAAACTAATGATCTATTTAATATATCATTTTGTAACATTGAACCAATTTTATTACTTGCACTTTTCGCACTAGGTTGACCAACAATTTTTGAACATGCATCAATCATTAAAGTTTCTAATAATACACGAGCTTCTTGTACACTTTTATTTTTCTCTTTTGTAGTTCTTGGTATACTTGATTTCATGAATTCCCCATTAGGCCAAAGTATATTTCTCAACATCCCTATTGTACTTATAATTCTTTCTTGTGTTGTCATTCCATTAATCAAATCTTTGATATGTTTTTCAATTGTACTACCGAAAATTTGTTGTAATACCACAATTATTGCACGACCTCTTAGCCAACTATTTGGTTTATTTAATGAAAATAATGCTATAACTAAATCTGTTACTGGTTTTATAAATGATTTTTGTGATTCTAATCTAGTAATTTGTGAATCAAAATTATCCAACTCTTTTTGCATCTCTTCAACATTTTCAACATTTTGATTATATGAATCATCATCATTGACACCATTTTGAAGATTTTCAGAACTATCAGTTCTTGTGTTTAACATCTCTAATGGATTAGAAAATCCTGAATACAATTTGCTTGCAGTATCTTCTAGCCTTGATCTAGCACTTGGTACTGGACTTGGAATTTCGGAATCTGCTAATGAAACTTTATAATCTTGAGTTGTTAAAAATTTTCTAAATTCTTTATCACAACAAACATCTTCAATTTCTAGAAGTTTTCTTAAATAATATTGTAATTGAAATCTTCTTTCGTCAATAAGTGCCTTTTGCTGAAATTTCAATATAAGCTTCTTCTTTGGGAATGGTATTTGGTCCACAGCAGGGTATCGTTTTCTTAATAATTCATTTAACCTATGAAATTGACTAAATCTTCTACCTGTAATCCATCCTGTACCATTTTTACCAGTTGATGATTTTTGAATTTCAATAACATATAAAATATAATCTTTACCATGAGATGTACCTTTGACCCAAGAGTCGATGTTCACAGAAGTCTTACCGAATAAACTATTATCATTATCTTCCAAAATTAATTGTTGTTTTTGTAATTCTTTTGATTCAATTTCACGTTGATAACTTGCTTTGGATTTCTTAAGAATTCTTAACTCATTAGTATTATTGATTAATTCAGCTTTCAAAATCAATGGATCTAACATATCACTTTGTCTGTTCAATCTTTCAATATCTTCTTCAAATTTTCTAATTTCTTCTTTAAGATTCAACACATCATGAGATACACTGAAAAAATCAGGATCAACTTCTAATTTTGAATCTGATAAGACAGATTCTTCTTCATCATTAATTTCATCATCTTCATCACCAGAGTCATCATTAAATAATGGTTTTTCAGTTAAGAATCCTTCTTGTGGAGATCCAAATATTTCATTTCTTAGATTTTGAGTCAAATTCAATTTCTTACATGAATCGGTTGATTCACTTTTAGATAATGATGGTCTCTTATAGTTATCATTTGACCCAATTAAATCTGTCAATACACTTTCTAGCTCATATTGTGATTCGCTGATCAATTCTGGTGGTGGAGTTTCTTGTCCACTATCTTCAGCAAATTCATCGAAGCTAGGTTCATGCGCAAAATCAACTTGATTGACCAATGATTCTTCAAATGCTTCACTTGATAAAAGTTTTAAAAATAAGTCTGAATTTTTGAAATCTGCTAAATCACGTTCCTCCATTCTATGGAATACGTCCTCTTGTAACATTAGTATGAATTTTCTAACTTGAATATATTGATTAAGTGATCTTTCATGCCCTTCTGCAAAGTTTTTCACTTCATTATATACCTCTTTTTTAACTTTAAGAAGTCTTTGATCAAAGAAACGATGAAAAATTTGTTCAATATCTTGAGCGCCAGTCATATCAACAGAAGACGATAACTCTTCCTCGTAATCTGGATCTTTTGGATCTTCTAATGGATCTTTAATACCATCAACCGTTAACCAATATTGTAATAGAATGGTCCTTGAACGTTGCTCCATAAATTCCATAAAAAATGATAATGAAGATGGATTACTCAAGACTTGAGAGAGTGTAAGACCAGATATAAACCCATCTAATCCTTGATCTAATATTACTGAGTTTCTAGGATTATCAGCTAATTGGTCATTTAAAATTGAAAGTTGTTTATCAACAAGTGAGTTGGCAAGGTGTAATCTTTTACGGTATTTCAAAAATTTCTCAGAATTTGATCTAATTTTATGAGTTCTGCTTATTTGAATTGCATAATAATATTTCAACTGCTTCAAGATAGAAGCTGATTCTGATTTTCCAATGGCTTTCAAATATTTTTCAAATTCAGGTTGTCTCATGTTTGGTGTAATTTTGATGTCTAACAATGGATTTTTACTAATTGTTGGTATTGATGAATTTGAAGGACGCTTGTACTGTTTATCAATTGCATTTCTTATTTCTCTAACTTGGACTCTGTCTTTCAATGTGGCAGATGCAACTTTGATAATGGTTTGATTCCAGAAATCTGAATCTGACAATAATTGAATAACAGGAACGAAAACTGCATTAGAAAGAAGTTCTCTAACAAGAACTAACACTGTTGATGAAGATTGTTCATCTTTTGATAAAAGGTATTGAATCAAACCACCAACTTTATCTCTAGAATATCTTCGCACTTCAGGTTGCTTCTCTATGTCTTTAAATGATATAGCTGGATGTAGTTTAATGAACTCTTTAGCTACTCTAACATCTAAATCATTTGTTCTATTTTTATTCCTTTGTTCACCTAAAACAATATCTTCAGCTGCAACAAAACTTGAAAAATGATTAGTTATAATTGGTAATATTTCCAAAATTAAAAAATTTGAAACATTCATCATGTATATTCTAGCTTCCAATTCTGATAATGCTAGTTTTAATTGAACTTTAACTTGAAACGGGAATGATTGATCATTAGATATATGTGAGAACCAGCTCGAAACAAAATCTCTGAGTATAAGATCAATGATTCCATCTATCTCTGATGTCAAAGGTCCAGTATTTGCCTGTGGTTTCAAATCTTGATTAATTTGAAGTTGTGCTACTTCATCATTCCATCTTTCTTTTCTTGTGAATGATAATCTGGTGAATTTTGTACGTATTGGATCAGTTGAAGGTCTGGGTATCTTTATGAAATGTGCTCCTGATATTAGCACTGCCAATATTGAGCCAACAAATAACAGTATTCCCAGAGTGAGTAAAAATAAATATTTAATGAAAAATAATGCAATTATGATTATTCCTAGTGTGATTAGGAATGGGTGAGATTCTGAGGATTGTGATGAAGATTGCCGTATTTCAACATTACCATTTGAATCTTTTTTGGTTTCACTATCGTCCATTGTGATTATATTGAGGGTCTATGAGCCTGTTCATGGAATTGGGAACCTGACAGTTTGATTGAAACAAGATTCGATGGTGTCAGATCTGTTGATATTATTGTTTTTAAACGAACAGTTCGCGGGAACGAAAACAAAAACATGCACGAACAAAATGGCAGAGAATATACTAATTTTTAAGACTTTAAGGTTATTTTTTGAATCTACAAGACGATATTTGTGGATATTTTGCGTCTATATCTTCTATTAAAATTCTCTATTTCCAATAATATAATTATTTATTATTACAGGGTCACATTATGCTTTGACCTTTTTGGTTTTTGGTGTTGTATCTTCAATATCAGAGCTCTTTCTCTTCTTTCCTTTTGAATTCTTGGAAGATGAATCGAGAGATTTATCCTTTTCTTCCTTAGTGCTTTTTTCCTTCTTTGACTTCTTGTCTTTTCTATCTTTCTTATCTTTATTTATTGATTTATCACTATCTGAACTTCTACTACTTCCAACATCTTCTTCTCCAGAGTCAGTTTCAGATTTACTTTTGGACTTACTATTTTTCTTCTTTACGTCTTTATTTTTTGAGCTTTTCTCTTTCTTTACCTTCTTTTCCTTCTTTTCCTCCTTGTCTTTCTTTGATTTAACTTCTTTCTCAGATTTACTACTTGATTCCTTATCTTTTTTAACCTTTTTATCTTTAGATTTTTTCTCTTTGTCTGATTTACTTGATTTCTTTTTAGATGATGTGTCATTAAATGAAGTTTTCATAGTATCTATCACCACAGTGGTTCCATCTGGTTTTATATCAGTCTTTGTTAAATTAACTTTACCTGTTGTTCCTTGTAAAGTTTCACCTCTTACAAACATTCTGTACAATGGGGAATCAGCTTGCCTCACAGCAGAAGCGACCACTTTCTCTTGTTTGAAGCTGATACCTTTATCAGAATCTGTATTAACATCTAAATTCTTCAACTGACCATCAAATAGTCTTTCCCACCATGCATCTGCAGACCCATTAACTTCATGGCCTATACCTTTTTTATCTTTCTTGTGCTTCACCAGGATTGGCTTCTTGATACCCCCTTTTTTCAGAGCTTCACCTTGTTTCCACCCATATTGTTCAAGATATTCTTGACTGTTCATTTTTTATCGAAATCTATGACACTTTCCTGAGTTTTTCAACTGTTCTTTGTAGTCTTTTATACCGAAAAGTTTATATGGAAATAAGAAAAAAAATTCAAAGCTCATCTGGTAAACGACACATCACTGTGTGGCTTTACCGATGGAGAAATTAATAAGTAGTAAATGTCAAAACTTCAAAACAATGTATTACGATTTGTATTGGAAGTGTCAATTCCACTTTAGTTGGTTTGTTAAAGAAGATTACACTGATAAGATGGATTCTGATTCGGTCAAGAAGCTACAAGCGCAACTGGCAATCGTTGAGGGCGATCCATATAAAAAAGATGAACGTTTGAAACTAATAGACCTTTTTGATTCTATTAAAATGTCAAATAATGATGACTTCAACTATGCTTGGACAGAGTACACAAAACTATTCTATCTTTCAGGGGACCAAATTGAAAAATCCTTTAATTCTGCTCTAGCACTAGATGAAAAATACCAGGATAATGTGATAACAAAGGGGATCTTGAGTATACTGCTGGACACACAACCAAGCTTCAAAGTCTTTGAGCTTTATTTCAAATTCTTATTAGATCATAAATCAGATGAGTTATCAGATCACTACATAATCAAAGAAGTTTTCATCAAGAACATTCAATACCATTTCGATAGAAGCCATGAAATCTGGGATCAAATTGTCAATTTTTTAGAAAGCAATTATGGTACAGATGAAAACCAACTAAACTTCATCAAGGCATTATACCAAGAAAGACTTCAAGTTCCACATAAGACAATTCAAAATACGTTTTCCACATATTCCTCATTCATAACAAAATATTTTAATCAAGATTACAATTCAGAGATGTCAAAAGCAAGTAAATTGTTTGAAAAGACAAAACCTGATCAATGGGAAATTGAAGCATTAGAACTTAAAAAGTCAAATTATGAAAATCCAAGTGATTTTTGGGTTGACTACTTGAATTACTGGGCCTCAAAACCTAAAAAACAGAGAAGTCTCAAACCGATCAAAGCTGTTTTCCAAAGAGCTGCAGATGAATCCTTAGATGATTCTTACATCAAAGTTTGGCTAAGATTTTTCATTATTTTGTATGAAAATGGTGCATTTGAAGATGACACTATACCATATGCTAAGAATTTTATTAAATCATTCCCATCATCGCCACTATCATATTCTGAGCTGTTCAAAAATATTCAATCTGATCTGATGTATACTGATTTATATCAAAGCTCTATGAAAAGAATAAATTCATTAAATGTTCTACACACTGAAAGTTATCAGGAATGGTCCGCGCTTGCTATATCCATACTGGTTTATGAACTAAAGAGTGTCCAAGATGGAAATATAGATCTTGCTGAACAGTTATTAGACCATCTTGATAAATTCTTTCATCACGCCCTTGATAAATGTCCAGATGTTTACCACTCAGTTGAAAGACTTTGTGTTTCTATTGCAGAAAGTGTTGAAGAAGTTGATTTGTGCAGAGAGTTTTTAAAATCAATTACTGGAAAATTTGCTTCAGAAGCAGAAAATTGGTTACTTTCTCACAATTTTGAAAAGAAACATGGTGATTCAAAATCTGCTTCGAAAATATTGTTAGCAGCTATAAATAGAGCAACCATTCTAGACTGGCCAGAAAGAATATTTGAGGAAGCACTATTATATGAAAGAGTACATGGTGATTCTGATAGTTATAAGTCATTGCTTGTCAAAATTGATAAGAAATCACAAGAATTACAAATAATTAGACAACAAGCAATCAATGATGTTGATTCTATTGAGCCAGAAGCTGTTAATAATGATGAGGTGGCTCATGCTAAAAGAAAAGCTGACGATGTTGAAGATGCTGAAGATATTGATCAAAATAAGAAACAAAAGACAGATTCACATAGAGATCGTGAACACTTAACAATTTCTGTCAAGAACATTCCACTCAAAATTAATCAAAAACAAATTCTCAGTTTCTTCAAGGAATGTGGTGAGATTACTGATTCAAATCTCATAGAGCATGAAGGATACATGCATGCTAAGTTAGAATTCGCCAACGAAGAATCTTTACTCAAAGCTTTAACAAAAGATCATAAAAGATTCCATGGATCTGAGCTTAAAGTTGAAAAGGCTTATCAAACCGTTGTTTGGGTAGCCAATTTCCCACCTTCAAGTACAAAGGATGACATACATGCTCTTTTCTCTCCAATTGGTAAGCTGGCTGGTATCAGGTTCCCTTCTCTCAAATTTAATTCGCAACGTCGTTTCTGTTATGTCGAGTATCTTGAGTCTAAAGATGCACAGAGAGCTGTTGAGCAATTATCTGGTTTTGAAAAGGATGGTTATAATCTTGTTGTCAAAATATCTAATCCTGAATCAAAAGAAGCTAGAAAGGGGGCTGTCGAAGAAGGAAGAGAAGTTTATGTTGCAAAGCTTGATTTTTATAGAGCAACAAGTGAAAAATTAAAAGAACTTTTTTCAAAATTTGGTACAGTTGAAAGAGTTCATCTTCCTAGAAGTGAACAAAGCAAAGCTCAAAACAAAAAACATGATGGTTATGGTTTTGTCACATTTACAACGCCAGAAGAAGCACAATCGTCACTCAATCTCAATCTTGTGTCATTTGAAGGTCGTGTTATAGAAGTCTCAATATCCAAGAAGAAATCTGAAAGAGTTCATACAAAAGAAGTAAGCGGAATAGATAAATACAAAAATTCAGAAAATTCAATTGCCATTTTGGATCTACCTGATACAATTAATGCTTCGCATATTTCTAAAATTTGCTCTGAGGCTGGTGAGGTTGAAGATGTGATACTTGAACCTGAACATCGAGGTGCAATCGTTGTTTTCAAAGACTCTAGGACTGCTGGTAGTGCTTCTTTGAAATTGAATGGAAAAACTACGGGGATCTCGAATTACAACCTTAAAGTTGGTACTGTGAAAAAATTAGCTCCATACAAAGCTCCGCCTAAACCAATCACGAATAATAAAGCTCAAAGATCTCTAGTCCCTTCTTCTTTGAGAAGAAAACCAAAATCCACAAGACCTGCAGTCCTCTCTACCTCAAAACCAAAAGTTGAATCTAATGATTCTAATCAACAATTACCAGAGACTACATCGCGCTCTAATGATGATTTTAGAGCTATGTTTTTGTCAGGAAAAAAATGATCGTCATATATTACTTTTATGATCTTTCTTTATAATAATATACAAAATCACATTAGTTAATCTAATAATGATTGTTTGAGTTCACTGATTTGAGAAGCAAGTTGCTCAACAAGTGGAGTTCTAATTTTATCTTCACCTTCAAATGATCTTTGTTCTTCAAGTGTAGTAGGTATTATTCTGGATGTTAAAAACTTTGGATGTGCTAATAGGTGTGTAAATGCATCTGAAAGAGTTTTTCTTCCTCTTTTTGAATCAAGCTCTGGAATAATTTCTGTAGATTGTTGTTGCATATTGTTCAAATTCATTCCATAATCACGGGACAACACTTTTAAAACTTTTTGTAAAATAATAATTTGCTCAGTTTCTTGTAAAGCAGGAACTGTAATGGCCAATGAATCTTGTGACCAGCTTTGTAAAGTTGATGTAATTTGTTTAGCAAAATAGTTGACAAAAACCAATATTTCAGGTAATAATCTAGCACCAAAGTTACTCAATAATATCAAAATAATTGCCAATAACCCATTACTCCATATGTTGTGATATCTTGGTGCTGATTGGACTGTAATGTTACCTTCTTGTATGACTAATGAAATTGGACTTTGAATTAATGTTGAAAACAATCCACTCGAAATTAATTGTTCAGCTATCGAGTCGACAGATGCAAGTTCAAGCATGAATGTTAAAGTTAAATCAGCAAATAATGGTTCATTATTGATTTTCAACAAATGAGAACTAGAATAAACATTCAAGATGGCTTTTAAGGTTCCAAAATCAACCAATATAGTAGATAATTTTGTTGTGAAACTGGTTGGTGGTTTCGAAGCGATCAAACCTTTATAAAGAGATATAATCAAATATAAATCTTCAACTTTTCCACCAATTTCTGGTGTCTTTATTTCAGCTTGAACGTTTCCCAAAATAACTGAGGTACCTTTAGCAATAACAATTTCAAAGAAGTTCAATAAATCAGTAGATAAATTCTCAACAATTTTTGTGTTATTTTTAGCAGCTGTCAAAAGACTGGAGATGATTCTCAATAAAGGTCTATATATATCTGATTTGTTCATTAAAATACTTCCCAAAAAGTCAACATCTGCAGAGGTCACAAGCTGCAAAGTCAAACTCAAAATATCTGTAATTTCCTTTTCTTCAAGTTTTCTGGAGCTGGTAATGGAGTACAAGAAGAAGAATGAGAGTTCGATACGAACACGATATACTTCCTCAAATATTGGGACTTTAGCACCTTCATCTATATTTGCTTGCAAAAGCTTCTTGATTATTTCAACAAATGAGCTAGTACTTTTATATTTCTTAACATATGCAGTCAAAAGAGCACCCCATGATTTAGCAGCACTTATTTGAGAAGAAACGTATTGAAGGTTCAAACTAGCAGAAATCACTTCACCTCTGTAACCTGAACTGTTTTCACTTCCTGCCCAATATTCATTCAGACCTAAAATATCATCCAATAACCTCAAGTCATAAACAGCATTTTCCCCGTATCTTGTAGAATTTGCTAATGGTGAGCGGATGAATTGCTTCAATGAATAAGTTGGCCATTTATCTTCAAAATTACGATTCAAGTTTTCATGAAGTGACACACGGTAGCCAAAAGGTTGATATAATGGTTTTATTAATTCCACGATAGTTGACCCACTTAATAAATCAGTGATTGGACGAGCTGATTTTTCTTCTTTTGAGGTGAAAATAAATAGTGCACAGATTTCTGCAACTCTTGAATTCAACATATACTTATAACAATTTTGGATAATTTCACGCTCATCTCGAGTTTCAGAGTTTGTAGCTTGGAAGTCCTTTAATTTATTCACTAAGGTTGTAATGAACTCCACATCTGATTCTTCCTTTTTAGATGACCAAGAGTTGAAAGCATGGGCAATTGCTTCAACTAAGTGAATACTTAAAGATTCTGGATAATAATCTAAGTGTGTGACATTATTTTTCAATATGCCTAAAACTGTCTTTTGTTTCTTCTCTGTGTCACGGATATCACGACCATTCAAAAATATCATTGATAACCCTTTTTGATTACCTTCAATAACAGCAGAAAAAAAATCATATAAATATTTTTTCACTTTGAAATCGTCATATTTAAGTTCTAAATCTGATGAAATAGATGCTAATAGAACGCTAGTATGATGTTCACCCAAGTGAGATAGTAATGATGGAGGATCAGCAGGCCATGAAGCACTTACTAGTTGCGTTAAAAGTTGTAAAATATCACCTCTTAAATCTGTATGTTGGCTGTAAGCATCTATAAGTGCAGGTGCTTCTGCGAATAATGACTTTTCCAAAGTTGAAGGAGTGCTTCCAATAACTGATCTGATAGAAAGAACCAATTTTGAGAACACTAAAGAGTTTCTAACCCATTGATCATACCAAAAACCAACACTTCCTGAAGTATCAAATGTTCCTGGGGTTTGCACCAAGAAGTTTAAAGCAGCAAGTATAGGTTTAATAGTTCTAACATCTGGGAATGAGTTGGTGAAAGACTTGATAACTTTTTCTGCTGGTTGTGCGAGTACCTTGGTGACTTTACTCTTAATATCTGAATCTGGGTCAATACCATAGACTGAATAGAGTAGTCTGGAGAAAGTATCAATAATCAATGTACCAATCTGAAATTTTTGGGAGCTGATTTTATAATTCCAATAAATGAAGTTTTCAAAAATTTGAATAGCGTGTGATGTGAATTTCGGTAATATTTCATTCCTTTGGGTGGTGTAATCTTCTGGAAATGATAATGCATTGGAGACAAGTTCATTATAAAGTTTCAACAATGCAATAGTGAAGTCATATTCACCGTTTACTGTTTCTATACTTCCCAAAATTGTGGCAATAAGTCCACCTCTTCCACCATGTTCTAGTAAATCAGAGCGAGCCAAATGAGACCACACTATTTGAGGGAAATTATTGACTAGACCAATTAGGATATCAACAATCAGTTTTAAAGCAGGAGTGTGTTTTTGGTGTAAAGACTGTTCAAATAATTTGAGGATGATTTCAACAATATCACCATTATCAACAAATGAGGATAAGCTTTCAAAAATATCAACACTAGTATCAAGATCAACTGAGCTAATTGTATTCCCAATAAGTTCTAAAATTGTTAAAAGCAATTCTTCATCTTCAGCAAAGCCGACAATATTTTGCAAAACTCGACCAATAAGAGCCCAACCATTGTAGTTATAATGGAAAATAGCAGCTTCTGTCTTTGGATCTGTTGTTGGAACTAGTTTACCTCTTGTTGAATCAGGCAAGTATAACAAAACATCTTTATTTTGCTCATAAGGAGGATTCACATAAAGACCACTTTTTAAAACGATAGAGTCTGTTTCTGGTTCATTCTCATAATCTAAAGATTGAGATGAAATTGTATGCATATAAGTCGACAATTTTGATAATTCATCATGGGCAAATGCTCCATTAATGGTTAATAACCTTAAATATGGTATTATAATTTCAGGAAACTTGGCTTTTGCTAGAAACAAAATTCTTTCGGTATCTTCATTCGTGAATAATTTTTCAACGAATGTATCTGGAGCATCTTTAAATACTGTTAAATATGTATGTGATGTTTTATCTGTTAATTTGATGAATGGTGTAACAGCTATTAAAAATGATGAAACAATAGCAGAGTATAAATTATCATAATGTAAAATTTGATGGACCTTTTCAATTACTTTGAAAACATCCTGTTCAGCCGCCTTCACAGCAAAGTATTCATTAATTTCATTAAATGAGTCACCGAATATTTCACCTGCTTTAGAATCTTCTATACCATAAATTGATATACTCCACGCGTAGTTTATTAAAGGGTCAACAGGTGAGTTGACCAATATTTTGTTGATTTTCTTCACTGCAACTGAATCTAATATAAATGGTGAGAATGGATCGAACAAAGCATCATTTGTGTTCAGACCCAAAAAGAGTAATGATAACACTGATTTCAAAGCATCTATTTCTTCATAAAATTCAAATGGTATAGATTCTTTAAGAACTGCGAAGAAGTCATTTGATTGTAGTACACCAAACCATTTAACCACATTTGAAGATGTAGTAGAAACAACAATCAGCACAAAAACTAGAAGCTTCAAGATCTCTATTATAGCTAAAGCATTTTCACTTGCAATTATTTCAGAGTATTTGGAGTCGTTTTCAGTGATGGAATCTGTTAATTTTTCTAATGATGAAATAGCAGTTGAAATTAATTCACCTCCATCTTGGAAAACTTTTTCAGAGAACTTCTTTTCTATGATTGGTAACGAATTATCGCTAACTAATACCCTGAGTAATTTGATAGCTGTACGTCTTTCTCTCAAAATGCTACTAATGAATAACTTTGTATTTTTTTGTTCGACCTCTCTTTTGATCTCTTCATTTGAATATTTCTTTGTTTTGGTAACATCATTGATTTCTGGATTACGTTTTGAAGTTTCAGCAATGATCTTCAAAGCCTCTTTCTTGTTTATTCCAAGTATGTTTGAAATAGTTGTAGCGTATGTCTTTTGAGCTTCTGTTACTTTGAAAGATGATCCACGAATGGTAAAATCTTCAGCTTTTGGTAATTCTTCAGATATGTTTTCAGTCAAAATTGAAGCTCCTAATAAAAATTCCTTATTATCTTCCAAGAATTTATCTAATGACTTCAATCGATCCAAATCATGTGGACTTTTAAGAGCGTCCAATGCCAAACTGAAGGTCCTAATATAATGTTAATACGTTAGATCAAAGAAAGAAAACTGATCCTCATCCACTCACCAATTGGCCTCCTGATCCGGTACTTTGGAGTTTGTAAGAGCACCAAGATTCCCAATCGTCATCACTTAGTTCTATTAAGATGGACAATGTATAATGGTCTCCTCTGTATCAAATGCTTATTTTCAAGCTTTGTTGATGTTTACATTTCTTGAACAAAACTCATCTTCTTTTTTTTTGCCCTTCTAAAATTAAATCCGGTCTTAACCCTCGGAAATATAACTACAATAACAACAATAACAACAAAGATCACCTAAGTTTCTACATAAAATCAAGCGCAGGGTATATAATTAGATTATTTTCGTCATTCATTATCTTGGTTATTTATGGATTATTTATAAGTTTTATTTTGTTATTATTATGTACATTTTTAAGAACTTTAAAGGCTTCAAACGAAATAAACTCTATCAACAGATTCTGGAATTTCGGCATCTGGATTATCACTTTGAGTAATGAAATCTTCAGTTTTGGCTTTGATGAATCCAGGTGATCCATTCAAAGTGGTATTTTCAATATGTGGAAGTTTTGGATATTCTAATTGACCTTCAGTCAATTTTTTCCAAGCTGCATTTGAATGGGAAATAACATCAATGGCTTTATCAGCATTCAAAAACTCACCATTGAAACCAAACTCATTTTCCGGTTTACCATCTGGTATCTTGTAGTCTTTAAACCATTTTCTAGTGCTTTCTAACAAGCCCGGGAATCTAGCATCAATATCACCAATATCGTTGATTTCTTTAGCCAAAGGGTCACGGGAATCGATTACAAAAACTTTCCAGTCTAGCTCACCATCATCAATCAAAGCTAAAGCCCCTAAAACTTTAGCTTCGAAAACGTCTCCTAGTTTTGCAACTCTTTGACCAATTTCACAGATATCAATTGGATCATCATCTCCTCTAAATCCAGTCTCTTTATCAACTATAGTTGGATCATCCCATGTTTGTGGTATAGCACCATAGTTATGCATATAACCTTTAAATGGAAATATGTTATTAACAAATCTAACGTTACCTAGTTTAATATCTTGAGTTATAGGGTTCAAGGCATTCTTCTTACTAATCTCAAATTTTGCATTACTCCATCTTGAAATTTCAACAATGACATTAACAGTTTTCTTCTCCTTATTCAAATTCAATGGTATATCATGGAAATATGAACCTAATTCACCATTTGGTAGTTGCAAATAGGCTTTAAAATCTGATGAATATTTGGAACCTTCGGTCACAGTATTATAGCCAACAGCTGTGGATATATGACGGGCCGTCTGATTCAATCTTGCAACAGCTGACATCTTACTGAGCTTCAAGCAGTACTGGATGTTTGACTTCATGATTGACTGTGTGATCTCAATCGAAACAGTGAATTTGTTACTAATTATATTGATTTTCCAATTCTCCTCAAACTTTTAACTATTGGTGCATCAAGTCCTAATTAATCAAAGTTTCGAGAAACTTTATCTTTTTGGACGTTTCTTCGTCAGGGCAACAGTTTTACTTTAATATATTTACGTATTGAATATTAATACTATCAATTATTTCATCTACAATTAAAAAGCCAACTTAATTGAAGTAAATTTAAAATTAAAAATTAAATGGAACGAAAGTTCACCTTATTAGTATGGTCAAATTTATATTTATCAGTTGTAATCAGGATTTAGTTGGGCAAAAAGAAAACAAAAAATGAACCAATGAGTAATGACTAAAACAAAAGAAAATCAAAAAATGAGAGCGAAATACAACCTGTTAACTGGCTATATAATAAAAACAAATGATTCAAAAACTAACATTCAAGTAGCGTACACTTAACCCCTGTTCCACTCTTTCTCATCGCTATCTCCTTCTCTGAATGAGTTTTCAGCGGCAGCTTCTGCTTCTGAATCTTCATAAGAAGGTGGATCACCTGTCCAAACAGGTTGACCTTCACTATTGAACATAGCACGTTCATCACTGATGTCGATGATACCTTTGAAATTTTCAATTTCCACAGTGGAGAGACCCATTTGATCCCTAGGAATCCATAAGTAAGGCATTCTTTTAGTAACATCTGGGAAATCATAAGCATGTTCCAAATATATTGGATCTGTATTATCAGCTGGATCCATATAATTGTAAATATCTGGAACTCTAGTCTTACAAACCTTGTATGATAAATAAATATGTGGTTGTAAGAATCTTTTCCATAATGGTGCAGGTGGAATTATTTTGTTATCACCATCAGCTAACAATGGAACTATTGAACCATGACGAGCATTTTCCAATGAAAATCTACTCAAATCACCCATTTCATAAGAAGGAGGTATACCATTTTGTGATTTAGTATCCATAACAGAGGTATAATCATTTTGTGATGGAGCATAACGAGAATCTTTTGAAAATCTCTTATTATCAGTTACCAATTTGTTATAAGCTTTACTGTTGTATGATGGAGTATCTGATTTTCCATCTAATGGTTTCATAGCATCAAGTGGAACAACAGTCATCAAATGATCAAATGCTGAATTCAAATTGGTATGAATAAAAACAGTGAAACCGAGACAAATAGCCTGTAAAACCAATGGACCCCAAGCTTTAGCAACAAGGAATAAACCTAATAAACAAATTTCACCCAAATACACACCAACAATAGTCTGGAATAAAGCTCTTGGGTAATACATTCCTCTTGCATCAGGAGCTTCACCGAACGCATAAGTTAGATTATATAGATAAGCGACCCAACACAAAAAAAATGCAAAGGTAGCGAACAACAAAATTATTGGTGAAATTATGGCATAACTGAAAATTATAACTGCTAAATTGGTGAAGATTGGGTAGATTGTACCCCAAGACATAAGACCTAATGATGTGAATCTTTTCCACATCTTTCTTGGTGTATTATCAAATGCTTTACCCATAACATAAAACAAAACCAAAGTAACAACTTGACATAAAGCACCAGATGCAACTGAAAACCCTTGTAAAATAATGTACGAAATATAGAAATTCGAAGCTTTTGGTAAGTTTTCAGACAATAAATTCATAGCTTTTGTTGGCTCTTCAGCGATTTGAGCAGCTGTTGATGCAGCAGAAGATGAAAGAGTGGTAATCAAAAAGACTTGGATAACTTGGAATGCAAAAAATGTTTGTTGCGTGAAAAGTTCGACTTGTTGGACTGATGATGCACCTGAAACTCTACCCATGAATCTAATAAACATAGGTAGTAACATCATTAATAATGATAAGGCAACAGTTGGTAATAATGTGGTTAAAATACCAAATAAATCTTTTGGTAACTTGTTTAAAAACTTTAAAAATGGTACTCTTCTAATGATATAATTAATATTGGAGATCATACCAACAAATGCAACAGGGAACGCCCAAAAGATAACCAAAGCAAACATGACGGCGACAGCACCAAACTTTCTAGCTAATCTTTCCCACCAGAACATTCTCAAATTACCCCAAACAATATCCTTTGGTTCAAGACCAATGTAACGAGGACTCATGTGTAACGCTGTGTGATGTGTCACAGATTGAAAAGCCATTTGAGCAGAGTATTGAGAGCCAAATTCGACAAAGACAGAATTCAATGGTTTAAAATCTTTATGATTTTGTTGCAATGTGACAACTTCTTTGTTAATCTTTGGTAATTCTTCTTTGACATAATCAATTGTATCAACCTTTTTACCAATCAAAAATTTCAAACGATGAGTTGGTCGTTTATTTTCAGGAACATAATCATAAATGTTGTTTGATTCCAAAGTTTCACCTTTCTTCTCAGCTTTCAATTTTTTTTTTCATTGCAGCATTCAATAATTTATTTTCAGCAGCTTCCAATTTATTTGCTAATTCTTCACGTTTTTTAACCTTCCCTGTCAATTCCTTTGGGGAACGAGCAATCCAAACCTTTTTAACATCATCAAATAACTTCTTGAACTCGTCTTCGTGTAAATATTGTTCTGGGACAGTTTGAAACAAAACAACTCTTGAAGATAACTTTTTAGCATATCTTGGTGATGCTAAGACAGCTTGTCTGATGGCAGTGTAGAAAGTCAACTCTCTATAGATCATGTATAAGACACCAAAATAAAAAATCCAAGCCATGATCACATGAGCATAAAATCTATTCCTGTTTGTATCGGAATTCACATTGGAAAAAGATAAAGCGTCTAAACCAGCTCCATCATTACCACCCGTAGCATTTATTGGTAGAAGAATTGGGAAAAATAAAAGCATGGCAGCACATGCTATTGTACAGATGAAGAACAAATATCTAAGAAAGAAATAACCATCTAAACCAGCTTGTCTAATGATAAAATTATCAGACTTTTTCAACAATGGAGGGATCCAATTAAATATACCACTTGGTAAGGGTTCTGGTTTCTTTTCTTCATTAATCAAGTTGAATGATGATTTTGGTAAATAAATTCTCAAAAACTTCAATCTCAACACAATAAATCCTGTAACAAAAGCACAAAAAATGACACCATTCGTGATCAAAGCAGTTGTGACCCCTGATGTAGTAGTACCTCTAACTTTTTCTGTACTAGCAGCAGCAGTGGTGTAATGATCAGTTCCGTTTGGACTACTCATATTCACCTGTCAACTTCAAGACACTAATTATATTATTGCTTTATTAATAGATTGAAAGTGTGAGGCTGACCTTTTAAATTGGAATTGAAAATAAATTGATCGAGGAATTATTTTTTTTTTGATCACAAAAGTTGTCAGCTATTTTCAATGAAGGTACGTTACAAAATTCAGCTAAATAAATATGATCAAATTTGAATCAAAACTAGAACTTGTAACTTTAATCAATTTTTTTATGAAAATGTGTACCTTATTTTGTTAGCGATAACACTTTGGCAAGAATTTTCTCAAGGGTTTAGAAACACTAGTGACTGTACTTGGTATTGTATCTTTTGTATTTGTGTCTCACTTCAAAACGTTTAGATCAAACGCTAGATCCAATTTCACTCAAAGGAAAACAAACACGTAAAAGAAAGAAAAATTATAGGTGCTCTGGCATCTGCTTAATTAAATTCCAACAAATACTTCAGCTCGCTGCTCTAGCCTCTGATTTTTGAGCAGCGAAAAAAAATTGGTGAAGCCATGCATTTAATTTTTAGAGAATTCGCGAAACTTTGACCTAGGTTTCTTGAGAGACGGTGAGACCTAACATAACGCGTCTGTTTCTGCAACCTCAGGTATAATTCTGTGGACTCTCCGTCGCATATACTCGATCAGCTCCAGGCCAGGCTGCTGGGCCGCTTATACATAGAATCTAGGTGGAGCCTAGGAACCATATTAATATGGCCCGTTTAGAATTAGGGACCAAAAACTGCATATATATAAACCTATATAAATATCAAACAGTAAACTTCATGACTGTTCAGTGTTCACTCTCTGTAATTATAACTTATCACAGATTTAATCTATATACTACTCACACATTTACTATACTGTAACATAGCATGACGTATTATCGTTATAGCTGTTCTCCATCTACTCTAGCTGCTGGTATATTTGATGCTACAGTATCGCAAATTTGTATCATATACAATATGGCTTAAATAAACTAACACTAGCTCCATAAATATTAACTGCAACACACGGTGATTTTACTATACTACCACTTAAATATAATGATTGTTGATTAGATATCACGTCGCTGCGTTAATGCTGATATTACGAACGATGTTACTGTTCATTTAACAGTATATCTATAGTCTATAGTATAATATGTGTACCCATAAAGAGTCGTGTTGACTCGAGCCTCGAGAGTGGTTGATTGATTCTTGACTCCAATTATGAATATATACGCATGAATTACATATAACCATGGATCTTGTTTCTTGATGATCGCACTGATCAATTATATATTCGATCTGATATATAATAAATTAATATATCAATTTTCGAACGATCCATATGCTCCATCCGATATATTGAATAATTTCTAATATAACAATATCAGATTTCAAAGAATAATTACACTTTAAAACCAGCCAATCACCAACGAATCTCATCTGCATTCATTGATAATCAATGTAGACTTAAATTCGAGAGCTGTTAGTATATAACATATAGTAATTCAAACATCATCAAGTCACCACGTCTAAATATTGAATATATAATATAAAAGTATATATCTCACTGGAATAATTGGTTATTCATAATTACCAGCTGTTCCCTTTACTGGAAGTTATGAAAAAGCATGAGCTGTAACTAGCTCCTAACAGAACCCAAGATCTCACGTTTAACCAAGATACAGGTTTACTCATGATGAATCAGTCAGCTAGTCAGCACCAAGATCAAAAAGTTGGCCGATATATGTTGATGCAAATTCACTTGCAAGTTCTTGCACCTACATTGTCAATTTTTTGAAAATCTTCATCACTAGTCGACGCCCAGGTAATCAAAAACTTTTCGAAATCAGCGCGTACCCGACTTGTGAGTCGCTAGTACACGTAGTAGTATATAAGTACTTCATGTGAACTCAACGTTTGATGTTTCAACTTTCAACGTTAGTAGTTGGTAGTGCTGAGCAGCGAGAACCACGTTTTCATGCTCAAAATATATTGATCCGTGTATAATTACTGACGTCCACTTTCTTAAATCTCCAATGTACTACTTAGTACTCACTATACCGACCCATGATCAAGAAAAATTAACTAGTTATTCCAGTGCAAAATTGGTTATCTTTATCATCTCAAATTAATATTTGAATAATTAATATCCTATATCTGTACTATAACTATTTATATATTATATATATCATATGATAGTATACGTTGAGGTTATAGTTTTGTTAGTACAATAAATTGTATATACTACACTACTACACTACACATGCATAGCTGGCGAAGTTTAAATAGCTTTTTACAGATATATAGAATCTACTATTTGAATACTGCATAGCAGAATGTTTTGTATCAGGTACATATTCTTAGGGATCTGTTATATTGGACGAATTACGCTCTTTTGGTCCTGAAGTTTTACTTAAAAAGGTACTCTCCTACTTATATGTGAATATATAGATCGGGTTTCAAGTTTCAACGAACTTCAACTTACACATAAGTGCGTATAATTTGCTAACCCATACAGTCAAGCTTTATTAGCCCATGTATATGTCTTTTTGTTGATTGCTGGGACTTAACGATAAATTTTTCATATAATTATATAACTTAAACCTGTTCTTAACTTGGTTTCATAAAGGTATATATAATGGTTGTAACAGGATCTTTCGGGCCCTTGATGCTCATCACTTGCAATACTTTTAAGGGATATTTCTCCGAAATATCATACCTTCGAATCTCGATACCAACTTCCAAGTCGCTAAAATATTGTGCGCGCCAGACGCCAGACACCGACTGCGTAGTCTCGACTCCCAGGCTTGAGCTGGTCTGCCTAGCTGTTGGAATAATTTGGCCCCCCTGGGCTCTCATCCCAGCGCTGTGATCTTTTGCCTGCCAGGCTCGCCGCTTCAGTGACTTCTAGAAGGAAAGCATTAAAGGTCGACACGACGTCCCGCTAGAATTTATAATTATAGTGGGTAATATATAGAAGAATCATAGCTTCTTCAAAATATCGATTTTAATTCTTCTTGAATCATATCGTTTTTTGTAAAATATTACGTACATCTAAACTGAAGAGATTTAATATACGTAGCTGGAGTCTTCATTAAAGGAACCGAATATTTATCCTAATAGAGTTAAACGGAGTTACTTATAAAGAATATTCAGTGTATGTTGAAGTGTTTAACCCTTGGTACTTAAGGTCTTGAGTGGATCTAAAATCGGTTAGAAGATGAAAACCCACGTTTAGAATTTAAACATCATGTCTTCGAGAAACAAATGGTAATTATTGATGCTTAATTCTAAAGTGAATACTGCTAAATATTGTATAGATCCGTCGTTCTATTCAACTATAGACGACTTAATGCAAGAAAGACGTTTATAAGCAATTCAATGTTTCCATATTTCCTTAGACTCTTAACCAATATAGGAAGTTGAGCATGAGGGCTGATATTAGACAGATATTTCAGTATTTAACCGTTCAAGCATGGTCATTGGCCAACTATTGTATGATGGATAGCTAGCTCATCAATCACACGTCTGATACATCACCTCTATAACCTAAAAACACCTGTCAATTACGATACTTATTCAAAGAGGTAATAGCGATTGATCTTAAACTTTTTGGTCTCAGTTAAATTGCTGTCTGTAATCTTAGTATCTTACCTATATAGAACATAAAAATAGACGTTTGTCTCAGACGCAAAACACAATCAATGAACAAGCCGTCGATCACTTTCAGCAATCTATACTGATCTCATGGAAGAAGCGATATGTTATGTTATCCATATTTATATTGCAGTACTATTAGTTATAAGCTGTTTCTGGTTAATTTACTGTTTAATACTACCAAACTCTATATTATTTGGTCTAATTAGCAGTCGCCTTATAAAATTACATCAAATATCTGCCGGTCCCTATAATTGAAAGATTTGATGTCTATGTTTCAAACGACTGTGTCTCAAACTCTGTGGAAGCCCAACGCTATTCTTTGAGCGGTTTCCTCTTCGTAAGTACATATAAGTCGAGCTATACACTTCAATAATCGACGTTGAAGGCTTATCAACAATGGTACTGTTCTCATCGCAACAAGTTTTGTTAATATAATCAATTGAACTGTGTGGTACGGGCTCTGCTCTAGCTTTTCAGTTTATATATAATTGATCAATTAGCACGTTGTAACTAGAATCCGGTGAAATGAATTCAAAAACACCAAGCACCAGTTACACAAACCAAATTAATCTTCAACCTCTTCATATACTTTGTTCATATCCATGTTTCTGACAAGCTTGAAGTTTAAATATGATGATCTTCACTATCAAGATTCGTGTGGGGCCTTTGTTAGATTGCTTATTAAATAGTGTGTAGTACTATATAGTATATACTACTTAATTGGTGTTACAATACTTATATATGATATTGTATATACTTATATATAAGACAAAGTATTGTTAAAGACAGATATGTGGGTCTTGACTCTTATTATAATCAAACTTGTTTTTATAAGCTGATCTACTATATATTGCTCAAAGTCTAGAGTCTGAAGCTTAAATTAATTATTGTCATCAGCTGTCAAAAAGTTAATTGTATATACATATATATCGTTCAATATGATTGCTGTACACTAATATACTCTACAATGGGAAAAGTTTAATTTTATGTTTCTAAAAGTTGTAATATAATTTATTTAAAGATACAAATCAATTGTATTCATAATAAAAAATGATGTATAATATAAGAGAAAAGCATATAGTGGAACACTTATAACAAAAATTCAGATAACAAAAACCAAAAACGAAAACTTAATATTATTGCAAAAAAAACTTCATAAAAAAATATCCAAGTATTAATAGGATTATGATAAAAATTAATAATAATTGCCAAAGAAAACCCTCCTCATTTCCTTGTTATAATAATGGTACCGTCGTAAAAAATATGTCGTGATAGAAAAGCAAAACACCTGTATGTCCAAATATAGTATGATTAGTTCTTGAAAGTGGTATGGAAAATAATGATTATTGAAGTAAAGAATTAAAAGAATTGATATGCAAATGGTAATACCGAGAATTTATCATCTAAAATTAAAAATCTTCTTGACCATCTGGTATTTCAACATAATAACTTTGTAAAGCACGTCTTAAAGCTGGAATCAATTTTTCCCATTTTAAAATACGAACTTCTTTATCAAATCCTCTTGGTTTTCTTGTTTCATAAGCCATAATTCTTGTAGCTAATTCAATTCTAAAATCTGATAATTCCATACTTGAGTTTGGTGAAGCTGAATTTGATCTTAATTCGTTATTTGACATTCTTGAACTAATTGGTCTCTTTGACCAGAAAGGAACCAAATTTGATCTAATACGACCTCTTTCACGACGACGCTCAGCTGGGTCTTGAACTTCAGTACCAATTAACAATTCAACAATCTTGATAACTTCAACACTAGTGATGTAGAAATTCTTTCTTGCTTCATCATTTTCAAATCCATTGGTGAATCCAGCATCTTCTTCAGCATCTGTATCCTCACTTGATTTAGTGTAACATTCTAAACAAGAAACTTCAACAACATCAACACCTGGTTCAGATTTCTTTGGAGTTGGGTTTTCTTTTGCAGACCCAACAATGGAAAATTGTGCAACAATCTTGGATCCAACTTGATAACGTTCAACTCTAATAATTCTTCTTTTATCAAATTTTTCTTCTTCATCCCAATTTGGATAACAGCATTCCTCTAAATTAGCATCTAATATATCTAAGTTAACTGGTGTATAATGATGATTAGCACTAGTCATGATTCTTGGTGGTTTTGTAGCTGATCCACCTGATGAAATACCTCTAATAACTCTATATCTTGGATATAATGGATTATTCAAGTTTGAATCAGATTCATAAAATGTTGTGTTTGAGTTTGATGCTTGTTCATGTGATGATCCAAATGTAATTGATTGTGGAGATAAAGAAAATGGTGAATCATTATTAGTTGCAGTCATGATGTTTGGTTCACTTAAATATCTAGATCTTTGGAAATGTTGTGGTTGTTGTAATTGTTGTTGAGGAATAAAGTTGGATTGTTGTGGATAGAAAGCTGGTTGTTGAAATTGAGGTGTACTTTGTTGGTGTAATTGATATTGAGGTTGTGGCATTTGTTGTTGTTGAGCACCTATACTTGGTGGTGCAAAGGCATCAACTGGAGGGAAAACTGATTCTTCTGAAACAAAAACAGATGTTGGAAAGTTTGAAGTGGTAGCGGATGATGGAATTTGGGAATTTTGATCAAAAGGTGTCAAGTTTGATGTTGATGTAGATGTAGATGTAGTTGTGTCAACAGAACTTAATGGATCCAATGAAGGTGTCATTTGTGAATTGTCTAACCCTAAATAACTTGCACTTGATAACAAAGCATGTGGTTGAACTTGATTGAAGTTTGAATAATCACCTGAATTTAATGGAACCATACTGGCTAATGCTGAATCATGGATACCCAATGATGGGGTACTGTTATCAACTAATGGTTGTGAATGTTGAAAATTGAAATATTCTAATGTATTGTTTGTACTTGGAAATTCAAAACCTAAGTCTCCTGTAGGAGGGTTTGATGTTTTGAAGATTGTTTGTGAATATGGATAATCCTCAACTGAAGTCATTTTTTTATGATGTTGCATGTAGTTGTGTGATGATGTGACGATGGCTCAATGAATAATAGAAACAACTTTGCTTGTGTATGTGTTTCTTTACCCTCTGTTTGACCTTTCTTTATACTTGGTATTTCTGAGGAATAATCTGAAAGACAATCTTGTCAAGAAAAAATGGTGTAATTCTGACAGCTTGATAATTAATGAAATGAGTATCTGTGTTTGATTGGTGGTTGTAGAAAGAATGTAACGAAATCCTTCTATCCCCTGCTTTATATTGTTTGATAATGATCCTTAAAACACGGGTCAATCTATGTTAAGTATGACTGTGTAAAATATGTAAAAGAACTTGTTGTAAAAGAACTTGACGTGGTGAACAAATGATATGCTGATGTGAATGTTGTGGTGTGTTTAATATTCACGATGTATTTAATCAACGTTGGTAATGATGATGATAACTCAACGAAGAACAACTTTGTCAATCAATGGGTGATGATGATTATTTATATAATTGACCTTCTTTTAATCAATGCTCAAAGCTCCAGTCAAAGAAAATACGTAACAACCTCAGTGTGCTTTTTTTTTTAATTTTAAATTTTGGCTTTGGTTCATACATGTTGTTGCAATTTACATTTAGTTTTGGTAGGTTCTGTACTTCAGAAAAACTGCAAGTGAAAATCAATGGCTTGGAAAGTTTAAACCTAAGCATTGCATTTAGGGAAGGCCTGCCAGCGACATCTGCAGCATATTGAGCCTCAACATAGCTAAAGATGCAAGCTTAAACCTTATTTTACCACCAAAAAAGCACCCGAGGTGCAAGGGCCTTAGACTTTAGCTATGGCACATTCGGGGCTCAGGGTCAAAAAGCGCTGATCTTCACTACAATCATGCAGATGAAGATGTTAAGAGAAGGGCAATGAGGATGCATAATATGAACTAAACAGGGCCTCTGGGCTCAGCGGTCTCGGGCTTGCACTCAATATGCATAGGCTAAAAGACTTCAGCGTATATTATATGATGGAGCCTAAAGCGGTAAAATAAAACAAAGATTACTTACAGTAATCCGGGTAAATCTTATGAGAGCTGCACTGGATTGTCTAATATCCCTAGCCCACTAGGTCACTGTGCAAAGTACCAGAGCCTCATGGGCTCAGACTCAAAGCCTCATGCATAGCTCTGAGCCTCTGAATGCCCCGAAAGCTTCTCTTGCATACAAGCTTGCTGTATAGAAGCTTCAAATTACCGCCAGAACTTATTGTTTTAACTTTGAAAAGTTGTAAGTACCAATTAAGATGTTCAAAGAAATAAGGATTGTAGTACGTTGTATTAAATAAGGTTTTATGCTGCTTGATGTTCGAAACAAATAATTATCTGGAGATTAAAATAGCTTAAATATATCAAAATTTAAAGCAATCACAGACGTCGACTTATATAACTTGAGTCTTGACCCGGGAGAATAATCCAAGTTTTCGCGATTATCTTCACATTCTTCTTCCCAACTCGGTTGTCTAGTGAACACTTTTAGTGAAGCCAAACAAATTATGGTTCGTAGCCTGTAGGGAATATTGGTTTTTTCGATGCTAATTTGCGATTTGAAGTCTTCTTTACGAACTTCCATAAGTGGATGATTTCCAACATGAGATCGTCACGTCTACGGCCTTAGTGGGTACTTTTAAAGTTTAGACAGCAAAATGATGATCGACGAGCATTTGTCAATCTACGCGTTGTGTTTTTGTGGCTCTACTCAGTGCTCACCAGCTATCTGTAATAGGTAGTATCTACGTTCTACAGAGCTCACGTATCTTTTCATGTCAATATTTAATTAAAATGCTCGAAAATTTCTTTTGGAAGTGAAATCCCGATAGTTCACCGTTTTTAACTTCTCTTTTGCACTTGCAAGTTGTATGAAAGTACCTACAGGGCCCAAGCTACAGTATTAGACGTTACGTATATTAAGTATAACAAATATTTTTATAAGCATCATGTAGTCTAATCTCGGTTCATTTATAGCATACCAGGATTTCTTCAATACGCAGTAAACTTAAAGCTATATATATATTATTATATAGTGACCAGCGCAACGGCAATAATAGAAACATCAACATCAACATATATATCATCAATATGCTGCAAAATTAATGTAACCCATATTAAATATGATCCATATTCCTAATATCATGGCTGATCTGCTTGTATAAAATATATTAGCTTCGAGAATATATATATAAATCATGCTATATATATATATAACGACTTATGTAAGTGGTATATACACGTCGGCAGCTTTCACTAGTGTATATTATATAATATAATAGGAGCAAGTAGATGTTTGATTAACCACACACAAATTTTATATGATTTTATACATGTATAGTATTATGGCATAATATATTGTGAGGCTCCTAATTATATAAAGTACAGCTTGATTTTCATGGGAGAACTATTGGCACTCACAGCTAGTCATGATATAATTTAATAATATTATATAATTTAAATATATATCAGCCGATAGTAAACTATCTAGATATCGATATAACATGGTACTTATAGACAAAATATAAATTCAAGCTAATTAATATCTAAGTACAATATTATTGGTTTACGCTACGCTATCGAATAAACATGCCTTTCAATATATTACCTAGAACCACAATAATGATGCGTACTACGAAGCTCTCAGCTACTTATACTTTGAAGTTGGTGCTAGTTAGGAGTCAGGACTGCTCACTGCTCATATTGCTCAAGTACTAGCTGACCCCTGGGGAAATGAAACCATGATTAATGTCAAAATATGTCATTTTGCGTGAATGTTTCTCCGAAATAGATAAATCAGGATAATTCAGCAGCTGTAAGAAGGCCTATTAATGTGCGTTTTATTAAGTGATAAATAAATTATACTTTAGTCCACTCGATCTGAATTATTGAACGTCGACAACGGAGCTTGTGCAATCGTTCTGCTGAAAAGTTGCGGAAAGTATGTCCTTCATAGTTTATGTCAGATATAGCTCGTACTAGTAAAGTATTGTAATTTAAATTTAAAACCCAGTGAGTCAGTGAGTTGTGGCAGCTAGTACTTGAGGCTAAAATTGATCATGGCTCGGGCTCATCAATATATATTATCTGTACACAACATTCTCTAGCACTAGCCATGGTCAATTGCCAGTCTAATATAATACATGATATTATACATCTATGCAGCTATATATATATATTATTATAATTATACGTGTGTATACACATCTATCTATAAATTATAAATATAATATAATAATTAATATATCATATTATATTAATAACAATATATACAGCTAGTATATATAATATTGATATTGCAGTTGCACACATGATATTGTTTAAATGTACTAGGCATGGAATTTTAGCAGCTAGCTGCCCTTGCAATAACCATGATACTAATTTAGCTAACGTCGACGTGATAGTACTAAATAGCTGTCTGTGGACTCGTCACTCAGCTATAGTGATTAGCCAATGGTAACCTACGGTCGTAGTCACTGGTCGATGATTAAGACAATTACCTACGTATATGATATATACAATATTATGGAACCACAACGTCAGTTAAATTCTAAATACTTCTACTAAAACTAAAAAATGTACTTCGCTTGCGTTTAGCGCTGATGTCACCGTTCTGAGTACATCGACTGCATCATGTACTAGCTCAAAATTCAGACTAGTAGTACTAGCTGTGGGAGGCTGGTCTCATTAGCGCCCCCTCTATAATGAGGCTAGGTTCTAAGTCCTGCATTTAGCGTTTGCATATCGGTCGCTGGATACCTTAACCACCTGCATGGAAGCAACATCCGGCTTAAAACTGTCCTAATTAGTTCTTTTAGCTTCTAAACTGCTGGTGTACTTGTCGGGAAAATGAGTCTTGACTCTTGACTCTTGACTCTTCAGTTTTAACGCGGTCTTTTAACTCTTGTTGAGTTTCATTGAAAATTTGAAAGGATAAAGATTTAAAAGAATAATAACCACCTAAACCACAAATTAAGATATAAATTAGAATTTATCTAGCGTCACTTTAGTATCGTAATGGAGCGATAATGGCTAGCTGCCGACCGTTCTAATACGCTGGCCATTTAATAATTTGAAATTTATAGCGTCTGATCTATATTATAATTGATCGATCATATGACGCGAACATAATTGAATAATATACCAGCTAGCTTAAAAATTAGTTTATATGAGGGATTAAACATATGTTATAAGTTATAAGTTCTAACCTGTACGTTATATCGTTATATACACAGTAGCGCTTGAAGGTGTGCTTCACGTGTATAATCGATATAAAATTCAATATTTATATTATACACTTCAATCCAGTTAATATACAACTGCATTATCATTAATTCTCTATCAGCTCCCAGCTCGTATATTTATAACATGGATCATATGGCAGCTAATTTGGATAACTTCGTGAACCTCAGCAGCTTAGCTGTTGAAACTTCAGAGTCCTTAATACTTATACTAATTAGAATTCAGTACATCGATAGTCGAGCTTATCTTCACGCGATTTTCACCGTCTCACTAACTGGCTCGCATAAGCTGATAAATTCCGTTTTCGAGCGATGTTCATGAATCGATTTGAAAAATCCAAAGCTCCAATATTGTTATATAATTAGCTATTATATAACTATTCAAGATATAATTAATTGCTGGTCGATTAGATGAAGTAATTAATTTTGACTTCTGGTCAGCTAGCTGACTATATATATATATAAATATAGGTACGCACATTATATCAGAATAATTAACGCGAAGTCGACGACGTTTTAGAGCACAATATATATATTATATATATATAACAAGGCCTCGACCAATATCACATGGAATCACATGAGTAATAGCTAATCAGCAAGAATACACTTAATATATGCTATAATTAATATTGGAACTAGAAGATGTGTGGACATCATATATTATGATCTATTTAATATATATGAAATTGATCACATATAGTTAACATTTATAAAATATATTAATCAATAATATAT